GCCAGCCGCAGGCCGGCGCCGCGCCGGCGCGGTCGCCGCACGAGGAAAGCTCCAGCCGGCGCACCGGCACCGACACGGGGATGACGAGCGGGAGCAGGCCGTCGTCTCGCGGCCGCTTCATGCTGGGGCCGCCCGGCTGGGAGGGACCCCAGGACCTGTGCGGCTCCTGGTCAACAGCAGAGAGAGGACGGTAGGAATTTTGACTTGTTGTTATAATTCAGTTACTTTTAATTTGTTTTGAAAGCAGGTCAGTTGGTGTATTTTTTTAAGTGCCTCATTGAAGTTTTTATTCGTTTTACTTCTCGGTTTAAATGTTCACAGGAGAGTTAATAGATTTGCTTGGAGTCTCCAAAGAGATTGGGGTTTACCGATATCACTTTTGCCAGCAGTGTTGCAAAATGTAAAGTGACTGTCGCTCGCCGGTGGAAAACCCCAGCAAATACCCCAGAGCGCGGCTTGGCGGAGAGATATTTATGCTGAGTGCTGCACGAAGAGAGTGCGTGAGTGTGTTTGCGTGCGCTGGAGTGGGAAGAGGGGAGGGCGGGTGAGGGTTGAGGCCGGGCTGGAGTCTCTCTTCTTTGATGGAGGTGGTGGGGGGGGCGGCGCAGGCATGCAACCAAACAGACGGTTTGTACGAGATGTCAGCGGGCAAATGTAGGCCACGGTGAGTTCCACTGACTCAGTTGTTGTTGAGCAACTTGTTGCGCAATCATCGCGCATGACTCTACATGATACTGGCCGCGACGGGAGTCTATCTGTGGTGATTGAAACATAACAATCGCAGGTTTGTTTATCCATTTCTCTCTTTTCAGACGGCGGCCCGGTGGGGCAGTGTTTAGCGCGCCGACCTCACGGTGCGGAGGTCGTGGGTTCGATCTTGGCTCTGGCCTTCACCTCTTTTTTAACTAACCTTGTGGCCCAGGTCAAATAGCAAATTTTTTTTTTTTTTTTGGGTCATGTCGCGGGCCACTGAAAAATGGATGGCGGTCCGCAAATGGCCCCCGGGCTGTAGTGTGGACACCACTGATTTAAAGGGATCCTCTGGTCCATTTTTCTCCAACAAGCTCAATTTATGTACTTAATAAAAATAAAATAAACAACTTTTCAACTGCCCATTGGAAAACAAACACACAAAAACCAAAATCGGCGATCGGGAAGGGGGAATAATCCTTCGCGCCGATGAATCGCTTCCATTTTAGCAGGCCGACGGTTAGCATTCAGAACAATAAGAAAGTCAGGAGCCGTACCTTGACGTCCTGCGACGGCAGCGTCTCCATCTCGGAAGCCTTCTGCGCCAGAGTTTCCAAGTTGACTTCCTGCGACACGCGGCGCTTCCGCCGCGGCGTGCTCTGGATGACCCCCGTCGGGGCGGCCAGGACGTCGGCGTCACCGCCGCGCGTCCCGTTCTGAGGGCCCCGCATGGCCGGGTCGCCCGGGAAGGTGTTGTCGTCCGACGGCGCCCCGCCTTCCTTGGAGAGGCGCCGCGACCTGCGGAGGTTCTGCGTCTCCGACGAGGGCTCCGGCAGAACCGAGGGAAGGGACGGCGGGTCTAACGATTGCGGTTCCGGGGTGATGTCCTGGATGAGCGGCTCCTGGATTTGGGGCGGGGCGGCCGCCAACGATGGCTCCTGGGAGTGTACGAACTGCGGGTGGGAGTGCACGTTCGGCGGGTAGTAGTCGAGCACATGCTGGCTTTGTTGTTGCAACTGCTGATGTTGCATTTGGAGCTGTTGATGCTGTTGCCTGCGACGAATGATCTGCTGCTGCTGCTGCTGCTGCTGCTGTTGAAGTTGTTGCTGGATGAGGTTCTGCCGCTGTAGCTGCGGCGCCTGCTGGGGCAGCTTGGCCTGCACAGAGTAGTTGGGCGGGTTGGGTAACCTGGCGTTGCCTTGGAAGCTTTGGTAGTAGGGGGGCAGGTGCTGCCGGGGCTGCCCGAACGCCAACTGAAAGGGCTGCAAGACCGAGCTGCCCACCGGGTGGGACGCGCTGTTGGGCTGGGGGTTCAGCGCCCCGGGTTTCAGGGTCTCCTGAAAAGCCTGGGACTGCTGCTGCTGCTGCTGGTCCCAATCGAGACCCCTTGACTTCACAGCGTCTCGGTATAAGTCCGCCGTGGGGTCGTGGACGGGCGGTTGTTTGTCTCCGGCCTTGTCTCCGGTTTCTTGTTTTATGAAGGCCGTCTGGTTCCTGGAGTCACTCAAGTAGTTGACAAAGTTCTGTCCCCAGTTGGCCACGGGGGTCCAAGTGGCAGTTCTCGGCTGCGGCTGACCGGACTCCTGGTGGGGCCACTTCATAGGCAGCGTCTGCTGATAGTGACCCCTGTTCTGGTCGCCCTTGTCGGGGCTGAAGATAACCGAGTTGAGGTACACGCGATGGCCCTCCGGATTGGCCGCCGCGCCACTCGCCACCTCCGTTTTCCCGGGTTCGCCGCCGCCGCCGCCCTGGATGTAGTAGGACGCTTCGGCGTGCTGAGCGGTCTCCTTCATGGCTCCGGTGGGATCGGAAAAAAAGGTGATGCGTTTGCCCGTTCGTTTTGCTGCGCCAGGTTTCTGCTGGGCCGGCACGCTCATGGTCAGCATGAAAAATCCGGCGTCGGGGAAAACCTTCGAGTCACTCTAATTGTTCTTTGCCGTGACGCAGTCGCATAAGTACAAGACCGAAGAGGAGTAGAACTGCATCGACATCAAGTTATCTTCCTCTTCCTTGTCCGATTTTTTTTTCTTTCCTTCCTCATTCATGGGTGACAACCTGTGAGAAGAAAAAAACGAGGCAGATCTCATCAAATGTGTTTTAGTAAAGTGCAAGAGCAGCAGTTAGCTAGTCACCAGTTAGGCCCCCTTGGACTCTTCTTTGGCTGGGTTGGGGTGGGGGGGTTAACGTGAATATAATTTACGGGTCACGGGCACGACTGAGTGAGTAGCGCCCTCGGGAAAGTTGGAAAAGGAACAGCTTCCGACATGTTTTGACACTAAATTGAGTGGCCGTGTCGCTTTGGATTGAAGCAGCCATTTTGGGCAAATTGCAAAACTGAGCGTTAACCAGAAGTTGAGCTGCACTGTATTTGTTGCCACAACCGCGCTCGTTTGTTGCAAAAACCTGCCGTTTGCTTTCCTCCGCAGAAAAACAATAGAAGGAAGCTCAGCTTCGGGTGTGCGAATATGGAGCCGAATGGGTGGGGGCGGGGGGGGGGGGGGCGTGTCATTAGTCACATGACACCGTGCGGTTCTGTCCAAACAGAGCCCGACCTTGTTATTGGAACCCGGGGATTGGGAGGGTTAATCAATACTTTCTGGAAATTTTAAGACTTGATGAAGAGACACGCCATTAATTACACCACCGACGATTCGTGCGTGCCAAAAACAGCCCTGCATTCATTTGTATTCATTAGGTAACCCCAGCCAAAAAAAAAAAAAGAGCATTACCATTTCCATTCACACTTACAGACACCCGAGCGTGTTCATTTGTTTGCACGTTTTGGGAATGTGAGAGGAAGCCAGAGTCTCGGCAGAAAAGCCACATCAGAACTCTACGCGGGAAGGCTCGAGTTGACAGCCGAAGCCCGCAAGGGCACCATGTTGCCCATTCAACAAAAAAACGATCAGATTTCAACAATACCAGCTTGCTTTCAGAACATGTCGTACTGTCTGCTGCAAACCGCCCCAAAACAACGATGACAACGAGTGTAAGGCATCCCATGGCGGGGAGACTACAACTGCTACAATTCCCACTAAACGATGAGTCATGAACAACAATTCAAGCACCTCAAACAAAAACACCTCAAACGCGCCCTGAGAACTAATAAAAACGTGTTCATGGTCCTCTTCCAGCCTATTTATTTAACAAACCCTCGACTCAACGGTATTTCTGAAGCACTTGTAAACAACCACCGCTGAAGAATTGCTGGACGTGCAGCAAAACTAATTCATACAATAAAACAAGAAATTAATAACAAAGACAATAGAAAGCACAAAAAAACAGTCAAACTAAAAATCGAGTCTCTTGCTGAGTCATTTCAAGATTTGAAAACAAATCATAGGATCTTGAAAAGAACTCCTTTTTACGAGTACCAGTCAAGAGGCGAGCAGCAGTATTCTGGACCAACTGGAGACGCTTCGTGGAGGATTGGTTGGCTCCAAAGTCAAGTGCCATTGCAGTAATCCAGCCGGGATGTGACGAATTTGTGAATGACTTGTTTCAAAGTGCTCTTGAGAAAGGAGCCAGCTCCCTCAGATGAAAGAAACTGGATTGGACAACGGCACCACTTTGCCGGCCCAATTTCAAATCACTGTCCAGTTTAAGACTCAAGTTCGAGACTCTTGGCTTAAGATAAGGCGCCAGGGGGGCCCAAGTTTACAGGACGGGATGTACAAGGGCCGCTGGGGCCCAAACACCGGCACTTCTGTCTTCTTTTCATTGAAATTCAGGTCTTGATTTCCTCCAGACAGGATAAAAGTGGCCTCGATGAGAAAGTGTCTTTTTTGCTCAGCGGGACAGAGAGCTGACAGTCATCCGTGTAGCAGTGGAAGGAAATGCCACGTTTCCTTTAGTAAACACAAACAATAAATGAATCCAGATCACAAAATGAATTAAAAAAAAAAGAAAAACAGATTTCTCATCCATCACTGTTTTGGTTTTATATGTTCGTCTTGTGCTACAAGAGGCAAAAAAAATATATATCTATAAGTCCCATGAACTAATATGGAAGCAAATCAAGCATGTCAACTTGCATGACTCTTGCTAAAATCTGTACCTGAATGTCAAATTTCATGTGTAATACATAACATAAATATTGTGCAATCATTTTGTTTCTCTGTTGACACTCACTTGAACAATAATCGAACAAACAATTTTATAGATCACATTCGATCACGCCTGCCGGCGCCGGGCGACGATTCTCTGTGGAGCAACGTAAGAGGAGACACCACTTACATAACCAACCTCTTTTGTTGCTTTGGCAGTGCGTTTTGTGTCATGACACGGGGTCCTGAACAACCCTGTATTTCATTTTCCCGCCTGCAGCTAATTCAGAAGAGCAAATGCGGCCGTTAAACCACAGTGTGACTCACTGGGGAGGGGTGGGCTTCATCCCCTTTAACCACCAAGACTCATAAAGAAAGGGCCCATGAAAGTGTAAGTCGTGATCAACAACGAAGTCAAGTCAAAAAGTCCAATGGTCCAGCGAGGACTGACGGTCTGTAAGGATTCCAAATCGTCATGGCAACCCCAGTCACGAATATTAAAAAAAAAAAAAAAAATAGACCACACACTTGTATGTCCAGGTTTTCTGAGCAGACTTTGGCAATGGTGCCAACTTGTCAAGCATTTGTGGTATTAAGAAAAAAAAAATTAAAAAAAACGATTCAACTAAAACTCGCATCTGTACCACAGAAGTCCACCGGTGGCGACGAAAAGTGAAAGTGTGCCGATAAACTCAGAGCAGGAAATGGAACTTGAGTACAAGTTCAAATCTACAATCTCATTTGACCGGGCAAATGCAAAAATGTAAACACACACACCTGTTACACGCTTATTCATTCCAGCAACACTTTCAAAATCGGCACAAAGTATCGCTATCGCTCAGCAAACGCAAAGCTGCACACTCCCCTGCATTCATTTATTTTAGTTTTGTTTCACTGTACAAAGCAGCGCTTAACTTCTCTTTCTACTCTATCCCTTTTTTTTTTTTAAATCGCGAAAATCAAATTCCCAAATTTTAAGCAACTTCATTTGCTTTGCTTCTAGAAAAAGCAAATTACATTATTTATATATATATTTTTTATTTTTTACACACCAAGCAATCCTTAACCCCCCCCCCCACACACACACACACACACAACTTTATCCATCATAAATAACAAAGTGTAACTCCAAACATTTGCTGTCCAGTTCCTAATAAATGTTCAATTTTGGAGTAGCCAGCGCGGCCGAAGCAAAAAGGCCACCCTTTAGACAAATCTTACAAAGTGCCTGGCAATTGTCACCCTTTCCCCAGCGAGGGGCTCCTTAAAATAGACTCGCTGCAGCTGTCGGGATCCTGCACGCTAGCTCGCTCGCTCGCTCGGGGCGGGGGGCCCGAAAGCGACCGCATACTCCTTCCGCACTCGGCGTTCCCCGAGACTGCAATGCCGTGTGATGTTCACATCCCAGGAAACCTCTGCCAAGGCATTTTAGCGCTCTGCGTCATTCGGATTCCCGCTGAACCGGAGCCGATCCCGGCGGAGTGGTGCAAGAGGTGTGCGGTACACGCCGGGGTGAAAATGTTCGCACAAGCTAATCATTTCATACCAGCCGATATTGATGAATGCACATTTTTTTTCTCCTATTCAAAAATCAGAAAAAAACAATAAATGGGATGAAGGATAAAATAAACACAACCGGCAAATAAACAAGTTATTTTTCTCAGCCGATGAAAGCAGGTTAAGTGTGTCAAATAGGTATAGGCGTGAAATGCCGTCGTGGTAGAAAATCCTCACACCACCCAACTACGAGTTAGCAAATGAACATCAAACATTGGTAGCTGCACACAAACAAATTGAACAAAAACCTGCTAAACAACAAAGGAGATCATCAAGTGGGAAATATTGGACTGATTTTTAGTCAATCACCAAAATGCATTTCAGCTGGTCAACAGGAGTCTTGAAGGGAGTAACCCCCTAAAACCCGCTGGTGTCAAACTCAAGCAGGGTCCGACATTAACGGTGGCCCCATGGCCCTTGGACAGTTGTGTCAGGCCATCATGTAGCTTTCGGATACTGGCGGGACTGGGTCATTACAAAAAAATCCCAAATAAATAGGATGAAATCAACACATGCTTGCTTTTATCCCCAAATATTTTATCTGACATTAGTATGGTCTTTTATTGTGGTGCATTTCATCTGAAAAAAAAAATCATTACATGAAAAACAAGAGCAAGCAATTTAGTGACTTCTCTTAAACTAATAATCATGTTTCAGAAAACCCGCACAAGCACAGGGAGAAATATGCAAAGGCCGAAGGCCGGATTCAAGCCGCTAGCCACATGACTGCGATGCTAGATTACACGTTACATGCGAAACTCAAACATGATCCTTTCAATCGCAACGGGCGCAATGCGAAATTCTCCTATCTTTCCATCTCGAGTTGCCATGACTCATGTCCGACCCACATCCGAACTATGTCGCTTGAAGCGTGCAGTGTCAAGGCAGCCTCCGCGCACGCAGAGAGCCATGCTGCGATCTTGCACACATCAAAGCCTTTGAGCAGCAAAATCTTCAGCTGAAGGTGGAAAGAAAAAGAGAGCGAGCGTGGAGGAGGATGGGGGGGGGGTGCATGCAACCTTGCACAAGCTTGCCAAACATCCATCCATTTTCTGTAGTGCACATCCTCATTTGGGTTGAGGGTGAGCGGGAGGAGCATTTTCCAGCCGGCTTGGGTTACACCTGTGGCAATCCTGCCAAAAACCGCCACTGATTTAAAACAATACGTAACAAAATGCATCATTATATGTGTTGCCCTATCGTACATGTGGATGAGACAGTGAGATGTCTCGTCTCAGGGGCCAAAATGCATGCCACGAGTACTGTACAGTCAATCAAGGCAGCTACGCAAAAAAAAAAATTAATAAATATCCACAATATATAGATATGATGATTTGAAGTAATACTTAACAAAATCTATCATCACATATGTAGGCCTACCTGGGGATTAAATAGTGAACTGTGTTAACTCTTTTAGCAAAAATGCACCCGAGTGGATTGCGCATAGCATGTCACTGAATGGGTGCAATCTAATGTGCGCGATTTAAGTAGATCAAACATAAAATGTTAAATATGTGCATCCATAAAACAAGAATGCAATAATTTCATCACCTGTATTTTTGACATTTGTACTGGTGGCCCGATCGGGCCAGCATTAGTAAACTTCGGGGGGGCGCCGGGCCTTCAGGCCACTGTTAATGTCGGACCTTGATTGATTGAGTACACATAGAAAACCCGCGCAAGCACGGGGAGAACATGCAAACTAAACACAGGAAGGCCAGATTCGGACACAGAACCTCTGACCCGTGGCAGATTTGCTAGCCGCTGCAGCAATTAAAAAATAAAATAAAATAAATCGATCGATTCTTAACGCTTACCCTAAGTAAAGTCTTGGCTGAGCTACTGGCAAATGACTTCCGTGCGAGACCAGAGGTAAACCCAGGACTGGTCGCCAGGTCACACGGAGTGGGAGGGAACGAGGCGAGAACACGCAAAAACTCCACACGGGAAACTGCAGATTGCAACCTCAGAACTGTGACGCAGTCGTGCTAACCAGCTGTCCACCGTGCCAAACAAATACATGAAAAAAAAAGACGCAGGGGAGCACCGAAAATAAACGACGGGTAACGTTCGTCGCCCTAATCCGTTGGCAGAAGACCTTACTTTGCACCCGTGATCTGCAGAGAACGTGCGCCCCCCCCCCCCCATCTCAATGTTGTGGTCACAACAACAAAAAAAAAAAAAAAAAACGGGAGGGAGGTGAGGATAGCGGTGGGGGATTATCCATCGACAAGAGCCAACCAAAACAATGCGATTGTCAACAAGGCGACTGTCACATGTGCACAACTTCCAAGCCGACGAAGATGGACACCGCGCACGCACGCACACACACAAACGGAGACGGCTCGTCGCACTTACGTGTTTAACGTTACGAAAGGTCGCGCTGCGGACGACGACGGTGACGCTCGGTCCGTCCGCGCCGTGCAGACCCGAGGCGGCGATGACTGCTGCGTTGCTTTGCCCGAGATTGACTCATGCTAGGCGGCTGCTGACCTCACTCCTCTGCCCTGCCCCCCAACCCCCCTCTCCACCTCCTCCTCCTCGTCCTCTCAGCGCTTACAAGAGGCGGAGTTCCGAGTCGCTGGTGGGTAAACAACACTGCTAACCTGACGTGCTAAAGTCGCTGTTGCACATGATTGCGTGGACGATTGCATGAGTCGTAATCACTATTAAGACGAGGAGAAAACAAAAAACAACACCCGGCTACCGCCACTATCGTTTTGACTGGCTGCTTGTCTCGTGACTAGCCTCTTCGTCCCGCCCCCTTTGTTTTCCGCTGCCCTTATTAGGACGCTTCCGGCGTGACAAATCCATTTACCGGGCAGGCAAGCTCACAAAAGGCCTTACGGGAAATTCCGACACACATGCAGGACTCACACAGACTAGAGAGAGGGAATGTGGTCGTGAAGCTTCACTTTTTGCACCGTAATACCATCATGGCGGTAGGTTAAAACATTTGGACAGGTTTATTTGAGCTACAAAAAGGCGTGCACCTCCAGTGCTCTGCAAAGTGCGGCTCGGGGGCCACATTAGGCCCACCCAGCGTCTCAGTCTGGCCCCCACAGTGGAGTCAAATTAAAATGGAAAATATGGGGTGCTTTTATTTTGAAAATTGTACTTTTATGTGCGTAAGTGTGGACAGTAGTATAAGTAACAGTGACGTTTTTACTTATTTAGTGACTTTTCTGGCCCTTCGAAGCTGGAAACTATTTTTCCCAAAAAGAGAATAGCAAAAACAAAAACAAACAATGATAACAGTTGTCCTAATGTTGGCCGCATTGCAATTTTATGCACCGTGAAGGGAAGATGGCTGAAAAGATTTGGCCAATGATACTATACGCAAATCTAGAGTTTGATTGACTGGATGTATTGAGCATAATCTAAAGCATCACTCTTAAGAATGTTGTACTTCCCACTTGGTTATATATTTGGAAGTCCTGATGGGGAACGCTAATGTGAGTTGGCGCTAGGTGCAGAAAATTCATGTTATCATTTTTAAAGTGTGAAGATGTCATCTGAATGAAAGTTTACAATTTTATTTTTTTAATTTCCGAATCATAACAATACATGCATTATGTGCACACGCACCAATTTAATGAAATGACAAGATACTTTTTTGAAATACAGTCAAAATAATCCAGACAAAATTGAGGGTAGCGTGTTGTCTTGGCCCTCGGCAAGAGCATTCCGTTTGTTCGTGTGGCCCCTTTGCAAAATTAACTAACTGCCTTGCACTAGGCCGTCGTTAGCATGCATGAAGTGCCGGCTGGTCAAAGAGACATTGAAGTGTAGAAAAAGAGCAGCATAGAAGAAGAGCAGAGTAATGGTGGCTACGAACAGCCATCGCTCAGGGCCCATCTCCATGGAAATGAAGGCCACATTTGAAGGAGAGATTCAAAGGCCACAAATTTTAGACCCTGACGTGCAGTTGAGTCGCACAGGAAGTTACATCATGTGGCCTACAATTTCGGCCTTTGGAGGACGCAGCCTACAAATTTGGACACAGCAATGGAACGAGTCGGCCTTATGAATTATACAATTATATTTTAGTTACTAATTTGTTTGAATTTCAATGTTGTTCTACATTATTGAAAATGGATGGACATTTTGGTCGGTCATTGGAGTCTAGTGGCCAATGGTCATGAAACAACTTCAATTAAAAAAAAAAAAGAAAAGAAAAAAAAAACTAAAAATACAAAAGCGTGGCCCGGTGATCGAGTGGTTCAGCTGTAATGTGTCGTGATAAATTCTTCCACAAGACGTCACTTGATATTTTGTCAGTGTTTGTGTGTCACTGCGCATGCGCGTAGAGGGGTACTTTCGGCCGCTCACTTGAGGCTAGCAGCTCTTAGTCGGGTAAAAAAAAACAAAAACACTTCAAAAACACGCAGTACTTACACTTGGTTTGTGTGGCCTCTTCCATGACTTTGCCCAGCAAGACTCCACAATGTTTTAAAGCTGCTAAAATGGAACCTGCCATGACAAATTCCTCCACAAGGCGTCACTCACTTCTCCGTCAAAGTTACTGAGCGAGCGTTGCATCTTTCATGTGACAACGGAGCGTCGATGCATACGGTTATAAAAGTCACACATTGTATCAACTCGGTAGCTATTAAATCTACGCACACAGAATTTGTTTTTGGATGAGTAACGTTGGTGAAACGATGAAAGACAGCCGACAAACATCGATATTGGGCTGACTTGCTGATGCTGGCCGAGCAGTTACTGGTGTGGGACGACGTCCCTTGCGTACGAAGATGAACAAATTACAAGACGGTTAACACCCTGCTGCAGATTGCCGTCGTACTCCCCCCCCCCCTCCCTGTCAAAAAAAAACAAAAAAAAAACGCCCGAAGAAATGTCAGTGATATTGTCTTGATATTAACGTTGTGACAATTACGAGACTTCTCGTTGGTTTCAAGCGATTAATTCTTTTTCAAAGTGCCGATTAAAACGGTATTAACAGGCATGGAGTCAACGCCAGTGAAACCGGATGTCCGAGGGGGTTATCATCTCACTTTGAACTTTGTGCGAGGACGCAGATTCAGTGTGGCTTTTTGGTTTATGTTTGTCAAGGATGCTGGTGAAGAAAGTAGTCCTCAACTCCAGACCAGGTTCTTTACACTTTGTCTTTTATTTACGGAAACGTTCAATTTACTGGTGGACATAATATTTATTTGTTAAATGTGTTTCGAGGGTCAAATCGGGTGCCAGATCCTGGAAATTTCCGCCTAGAGGAGACAACTCTCGCACCTGGTTTGGAAGAGGAGGAAGTGCTCGTTCGGACCCTTTACCTTTCAGTTGACCCTTACATGGTACTGAACACACACGTTTATAAGCTGGGAAATGTATAATTGCATGGTTTCATTGGCGTCATGGTGCCCATTTATGTTGCAAAAGCAATTCAATAGCCACATGCTGTAAAGTTTTGACTCGAGGTATGTGCTTCCAAACCACGACTGTTTATTTATTCAAATATTTGCTTCAGGGAAACTAGACGGGGTCTGATGTATCTCTTCAATTACAAAGACCGGCCTTGGCCATGGTCAGTCCGACAGCTCATTTTATTCTGATTAATTTATTATACTGCGTGACCAAACAACGTTGGTTACCTTCACTGTATGATGACTGATTTCTCTTTCCTTTTTACTATTTTACTTACCTTACTTTCTGTCAATTTATTACTGTATATGTTTTTATGTTCAGTCAACAAACAAACAAAAACAAACAAATAAACTATGGATACTGCTAGCAGAAAAATGGCTGCTACATGAATGCAGCATGGTTATCCTATAATGCAGCGTGAAAGCCGTGTTGCTTTGTGAGGTATGGGCAGCCATTTTTTAGCTCGTTGTAGCCAAAGTCGACTTGCATTATGGGTTGTGGGGGCCAAATTCCGGCTAGCTTTAATGTAACCATGGTGAACTTAAACACTACAGTCTGCAAAAAGGCTTAAGATGTTGCATGTGATACACGAGAGAACTCGCTGTATTATTTGTTCAAAATGAATTGTACTTTCACGTATTCCTATATTGTACAGCATTTCTTTCAGCCAAGAGCAATTTAAAAAAAGATTTTGAGCAGGAACAGGTTGTTTGCATTTACATTCACGTCAATGGGAAACATTGCCTTGGTTTGCAAATGAGTCACTGAATGAATTAAATTTGTAACCTGAGGTTCCACTGTAGTTGGCTGTCTGGAGTGTCCAAGTCACTGTTGAATTACCGGACTATTTCAGAAAAAGTTGTTTGGGGGCCAGCCCTTCCGAATTGTGCCTGCTTATGACATCAAAGCAGGGCGCTGATTTAACATGTAGCCTAAACCACACAGAGATGCAGGATGAATGAAGACAGCGGTGCGGAATATCTGACGCCGTGGAAGCTGTCGGAAAGCGTGGACGGCGGCGGGGTCGGCGTGGTCCAGTCCAGCCGCCACGACGCCTATCGAGAGGGGGACGTGGTCACCTCCTTCACTTGGCCCTGGCAGACCCACGCTGTGGTGAAAGGAAGCATCCTACAGAAGGTTGAAACGATCAACATATTAATTTTATGAGTAATATGACTCTCAATTATGACGCTTATCATTGTTCTTCCTCAATCTAGGTGAATCCGTCACTGGTGGACGGCCACCTTTCCTACTTCCTCGGGGCGGTAGGCATGACGGGCCTCACGGCGCTGTTGGGCATGAGAGAGAAGGGTCACGTGATCCGAGGAGCGAATCAGACGCTGGTGGTCAGCGGCGCCGCCGGGGCCTGCGGCTCTGTGGCTGGACAGATCGGACGATTGGACGGTTGCTCCAGGTGTTGATCAAAAACGTACTTCAAGTTCATTGATGACTAAACGGTTGTGCGTTTTTTTTTTTTATATATATAAACAGCATTGTTTACAACTCCCTCATGAATTTCATAAATACTGACGAGAATTTATCGTCCGTGAACTTGACATACATATTTTTGTACACATTGAAACTCGTCAATGAACTACAAGCGACACAGTTTTTAAGTTTACGGAAAACCTGCATGAAGTTAATTGTATTGTCATCAATTATCTTCAACTTTTACGAGACAGCATACGTTAAGTTCATCAAGTTTCAACAGTTTGAAGTATGGTTCCGAAAAACGTGCGTCAGGTTCATCGATGACAAACAATAAGATGGGACTGCTTCTTCAGGGTGGTCGGGATCTGCGGTTCCGAGGACAAGTGCAAGGCACTGGTGGAACGGTTGGGCTTTTCCGGGGCCATCAACTACCGGCTGCAGGATGTCACCGCGGGGCTGCGAGAAAACTGCCCCGACGGCATCGACGTCTACTTTGACAACGTGGGAGGAGACGTCAGTGACGCTGTCATTGCGCAGGTAGTGATGCTATTGCGGGTTTGTTTGTGTGTGGAAATTTCTGACAAATTAGAGCGAGCCAAGTTTATGGCTAAAATTCAATTGTTTCCTTGGTTTCAAGAAAAATGTACACTTTACTACTTTTGTATTTTTTAAGTTTCGGAAAAGCGTACTCGAAATTTATTGGCAACTGTCAATTTTCTTCAGTGTTTGCAATAACGTACATCACGTTCCAGCACTTACGAAAAACATACTTTCACACTGTTCAATGTTTACAAAAGCTAACTTGCCTCTATCTTTTGCAAACGTTAACGAAAATTGAACCTGATGTTTTTTTTTATAGACATGGAAGACAGTTTAGTAGTCAGTCGTCAGTGACCTTGACATATATTTTGCATAAACGCTGAATGCGTCCCAACTGAGCAGTTCGCCGCTTGTCTCATTCGCCCTCAGATGAACGAGGGCGGCCACGTGATCCTGTGCGGTCAGATCTCCCAGTACAACAAGGATGTGCCGTACCCGCCGCCCCTTAGTCAGGAAACACAGGAGAACCTGCGCAGGAAGAACATCACCAGAGAAAGGTTCATGGTACTCAACTACATGAGCCAAGCCCAAGACGCCCTTTGTGAACTGGGCAGCTTGGTCACCTCCGGACAACTCAAGGTGAGTTGGAAAATGACCAAATTTAAGTCCTATATTTCTTTACATATGAGAATTTTAAATTTTCTTAAAGAGATTTTAACAAGCATCATTGAAGTTGACATGTTTGATTTGCTTTCGCGGGCCACATAAAATGATGTAGTGGGCCAGATCTGGCTCCCGGGCCTTGAGTGTGACACCTGTGACTTAAAGGTCATCCATACATTCTCATCCATCATCCATTTTTTCCCCCAAGGTGCTAGAAACAATTGAGAACGGCATCGAAAACATGGGAGGTATGCGTTTTCCGTCCTTTCATGATGTATTCGAAATTGGAATTTTTTTTTTTTCATACTCCTTTTTCCCCGCTCGCAGTTGCCTTCTGCTCCATGATGAAAGGGGGAAACCTCGGCAAGCAAATCGTCAAGATCTCCCACTGACTAAGCAATAAATAACACTCGTGACAACAACTGTATTGAACTTTTTTTTTTTTAATCCACAGCACTATAAACTATTCATACAAAAAAAGTGGTTGCTCCCCTTTTCATTCAGAACACCCTCCTCATTCATTTTTTGCGTGTGAATGTTACAAATGGATGTATGTGGTCACGTGACATCCACGATACAGTAGAGAGCACGGACTTATTACACATGGATGGACTACCAAAGCCGCTGACTCTCCGTCGGGAGGAGGAGAGCCACCGGCAGCCATTTTACGTTGCCAATCGCTAAGCTTGCCTAGCTCGAATGCATTGATTGCTCCTCGGCGTTTTCATGTTATTTTCTGTCTCGGTGACAAATAGGCCACTGTGTATAGCAGGCAGTTGTGCCAATAAGTCTGGGAAAAGCGCTACAAGCACAATTCCTTGGGAAGAATGGAATTTAAAATTCTCCCACATCAGTATGTCAAGTCACACTCTGAAAGGCTCTCGTAACGCCATACAAGAGATCCAGCTAAAAAAAAAAAAAAAAAAAAAATAGTAGCAGTGGCAACGTAAGATGGCTGCCCTCTGGCTTCAGCCGCGAGGGGTCTCTTGATAGTGCATTCATTCATCCAGCCCTGTGGTACAGACACTCACAGCCGCGTGATGATGATGTCATCAGTGGGCGCCCATAAACTCTTCGTTTGACACTGAGACGCGCGCGCATATAAACTGCATTGTGAAATACAAGTGCTTATAAATGGGATTGTGAAATACAGGAAGTGCAAGATTGCTCAGTTACATGTCACACAGGACGTTTCATTAGGTACACCCGTCGTATCAACGCAGATAGTCGGCAGTCATCCCGTATTAGACTTATTGTGTAAGTCTAATGGTTATAGAAATTGCTCCAAGATACACGTTAAGTTCAATTAATTCATAAATGAGCCTTTGTCGGTGCTCTCTTTTTTTTGTTTTTGTTTGTTTGATTCCAGTACCGGACACAGTGAAAAGGGTGGTGCTGAAGGGAATTGCATCAAATTATCAATAATTCACAAATGGGGTCTTCACATTCTCAAGGTACTTTTTTGTTTTCAGTGCCAGATGCAGTGAAATGGGAGGGCCGGGGAAAACACACAAAAAAAGGAGGCCTTGTGTTGATTTTTTTTTCTACATCTGCAGTGAAATGGAGATGCGGAGGGGAATAGCATTTTATAGATTGTAATTTTAAAAAATGCTGCCTTTCTTTTTTGCAAGTTGCAGGGCCTAATATCGAATGCCGGTGGCAGAGAAATGGGGGCGGCTGAGGGGAAAATCACACAGTATAACTCGTAAATGATGCCTTCACCTTTGGTGGGTACTTGTTTCTTTGCAAAACGGGATGCCTTTTACCCACCGCGGTGAAATGGTGGTACTGAGGGGAGATCACACCATATTATCATAAATCAAAATAAAAATGGCATAGAGGTTCATTTCACAGCTATATCACATTCACTTTTTATTTTTGTCACAATTTAAAGCCACCACACGTTGATTTTCTAGGGATGTTGTGATATTTTTGTTCGGAGCTACTGCGGAATAAAAAAAAAAAAAAAAAAAAGTCCTGAAATACTACGTGAGATTTGATTGTGTGTGCGTCCTAACACTCGCGTTCCTGAGAATCCCAACAGCTCAGTGCTGATATGATAGCAAAACGTCGGAAGAAGCGCTTCCGCCGAGCGCCATTGAACACACCACGAGCGGACGTCAGTTGGTCTGTTGAGGGCCGTACTACACTTACGGGAAAGTATGATACAAACGGCAAACAAATATCGTTAGTGTGTAGACTGTGAGCTTTTGCGTTTAAAAAAAAATTGTGTTTGTGGTTTTGTCTGAGACATTTTTGAAACCATTAACCAGAACTTGGGAGTCTTGAGCGAAGGTGTAAAGCCTGTTCTTGTAAACATTTATGAAAATGTTGCTTTTGGTTGAATCGAACATACCTATTTTTTTGGGTCACATCTGTTTTGAGTGAACACATGAAGACAATTGATGTAGATTTTTGTAAAAATATCAGGAAATTCAGTCTGTACTGAATTCAAAATCTTTTTTTTTTTTCAAGCCAATTTAGTTTTGAATTAAAATTCACCTAATGGGCGATTTTTACATATCACTGAATAATTCATTATTATTATTATTATTATTTTACTGAAGACAATTTCATCTTCAATAAATGCATGAAATTGAAGAACATAACATACGTTCTACGTAGATTCCTCGCAATCCCGAAGACAATTGAGATTCTTCCCTTTTTCATAAAAACGTCAGAAAATCTAGTTTGTAACGTCTTTTGGAAATACTGGCAACGTTTTTGAGTCGACATAATCTGACAGGAAGTGGTTGCAGTTGTTATTTGAAGTCCTTTGGCAGTGGCGACGAGAAGGCAACACTTTGAAAAACAAAGTGCAGAAGTAAACAAATCACAGCAGCTCATGGGTGACCGTCTCTATTTTTTCTTTTTTTTATCCACTCGTGTACACCAAGCGCTTCTCAAACTATTTTCAATCCAGGGCCTCATTACAGGGGACAATTTTTTTTTCTCCAATGATCACCTCAATATCCGAACGGTAATTGAACCTTGACTGCCATCATGAAAAAGTTGCTTCTTTTCAAGGGGAAAACATGTCATACTATCAGGCTAACAAATTCATTTCACAAAAAAAAGCAAATGGGTAAGGTTTTTTTTTTTTTTAAGGTCCCCCTTCCCAAAATTTACAAAGAGATGAATTTGTGAATGCCAAACCGCACATAAGGGCGTTAACTAAAGAAGGGTTTATTTGGGGGGGTGTCATCACATAATGGAAAACGCCATAAACGGGCTAATGATGAGCATCAGTTGCCACAATGTCCAAAGATACATTCTTCATCTTCTGCGAAAGACGGCGAATCATATTGAAGCTAATTGAGTCACTGCGAGTAAGGAGCGACTCTTCTTCGTTTTGTACGACCCGGAGGCCAAGGCGTGCGCATCAGAGGGAGCAGCACAAGGAAATGAATTGCATTCAATCAGGAAGCACAAACTGTTTCAATTTTTTTACATTCTATTTAACCACAAGTTTTGATTCTATCATTCTGTTTTGAAGTATATTATAGAGTTCTATTTTCCATGATTTAGAAAAAAACGGAATGGATTCAACTTGTATCCCTTGGCACCATTGTATTTTGCAGAACCCCCAGCGACCCAGATTCCAGAGACCCTAGTTTGAGAACCACTGGGTGTACACTAACAGCACAGGAATGTGCTCGTCGGTGCGTTACACTTGAAAAACATGCATAATGCAGTAAATAATACAGAGGTGAACGGTGATTGCGGCGAGAGTGGTATTTTACTGTCAGGAGGACGGCGAGACGCTCTTGCCGTTGCCGCCGCCTGCCACCGAGCTCCAGGAGGGCATGGGGCAGGTCCAAGCGCGGTAGACCAGCACCAGGCCCAGTCCCAGCGCCCACGTGCGCACGGGCGACAGCAGGAAGGCCAAAAGGCCGTACGTCTCCAGCAGGAAGTAGCACGAGTGCGCCTGCCAGGCCAGCAGCAGCAGCATGAGCAGGTGCACCGCCAGGCACCGCCAGCGGCAGCCCGGGCGCAGCAGCAGCGAGCGGAAGGTGTTGCCGCGGCAACGCAGGTGGAGGCTCCAGCACAGGTACAAGGTGAGCGGCATGTTGAAGAATAACAGCTGGGAGGCGGGGGGAAGAAAGAAAATGAGAAAAAAAAAACAAATCTTCCGATGAATTCTTCCATGGGAGGGTTGGAATCCCAGCTCACCTGAATGACGCCCACCACGTAAGTAAGGCTGCCCTCCAGGAAGTGTCCGTTGACAAACACCCCAAAGGCAAAGCAGGCGCCGCTGTGGCCGTCAATCAGCTCGCCGATGAACCACGGCCCTGTGGGAGGGAAGCGCAACCACGTCAGCATTGGAACGTTAGCCGCCGCGCAGAAAGCGGCCAACGATCAACAAAAGTGGGCCGTCTCACCTAAAGCCGTGCACAGGTTGAAGAGCAGCAGGGAGTAGAAGAAGTGGTCCACCTTACTAACCAGCCGCAGCGACATGCAAGCTTGCGAGGACCACCCTGCTAACGGCGTACATTGAATCAGGCGCACGTGTCGCACTTCATGACACGGCGGCAAGCGGTGCGCTCTCACCTCGACCAAGCGGGAAGTGGCGCATGAACCTGAAGGACAACAGCAAGCCCACGTTGAGCAGCATGGTGATGGCGAAAATCGCCCGGCCCACCACGTAGTGATCCGTTAGCAGGATGAAGGACTGCGCAAACCCGAAGCTCGGGGTCACGCCGTCCCTGGCCAGTGAGAAATGCTGCTCCCGCGCACTGCTGCGGCCCAATGAGTCCTGAATTAACCAAAGAAGAAAAAAAAAGGACAAATATTCGCAATTTCCCCCTCTATGGTTATCTTCACACTTCACGACGCCGGTGCCACGTTGACTGACCTCCACCTCGACTCGGATGGTGTGTAGCCCGGTGAGGTAACGCAACGGGTCCCAGGGCAGCACGTACAGGGGCCCGCCAGCAGGGTGGCATTCACCCAGCGCCTCGCCGTCCACAATGACACGCACCACCGTGATGGTAGCCTCAGAGAAGGCGAGAACCCTGTTCAGAGACGTAAGGCGTCACCATCAAATGATCTTTAGAAGAGACACGGTACATTTATAAAAGATGACGCAGAAGAGCCGACCTGATGTGCGTGGACCTCCGGATTCGGTCCAACGGCTCCAGGTCCGGATGCATGTACTGCGCATCCTTGGGGTTGGTGATGACCACCGCCGGCCACTTTTCAAACCTCAAGTCGGAGAAACTCAGCAGGTCGTGGTCAAAGGCCAGAACCCGGTACCTGGGTGGCGATAACGGTACTTACTTCCGTTGCATCGGGGGATGTCTTTTCCTATGAATGGCGATGCTCAATCTCATCTGGCAACTGAGAGATGACGGCACTTACCTGCGATTGTCCATCCAGTCGCCCAGCTCCAGTTCCAGCGTGCCGTGAGGATGCCGACTATGCAGGACGGGCATCAGGCCGCCAAGCGTGTGCAGGTGGCCGCACAGGTAGGCCACGGCCGATCTAAACGCAGGAGAAAGCATTGAGCCAAGATGGCGAACTTGTCAAGAAGAGGCGCTCCAAAATGGCCGCTCACCTCATCAGCTCCCGCACGCCCGGAGACGGCGACACGATAGTGGAGGTGGTGTAGTGGCCGAACCAGATTGACTGGTTGCTTTTCAGACTCTCGGCTCTGAACGTGTCCAGCATGTCCATCTGAGTCTGAGGCAACATCAACTTAGTTCGTTAGTTTAACAGTACAAATAAATACCATTGTGGCTCACTTGAGCGTATCGATGAATAAACCAAGTAAAGTAGGCCCCGGTTTATCCCTCAGTTAGCAAAAATCACTGTGTCTATATAAATGGAGAGAAATAAAATACTGAGCTTGCCAATACAAAATATACACGTGAGGCGTAGGTCCGCTTTCTGTCCACTTGGCGATGCCATCCCCACATTCAATACCGACTCTGAATCAGTGTTGGAACCTTTTAGATTCTTCATTTTGATTTCTCAAATCAGTTACTTTTCATTATTTTTCAGAAACAAGTTTGTTAGCTGTTATTTTCTTTAAAAATGATTCATTTTAGTTAATTTTTTTTAATATGGAGGACTTGTTAAGTGCCAGATTTTAAAAAAAGGTCACTAAGGGTTGTGTAGCATTCATTTTGATTTCTCAAATCAGTTACTTTTCATTAAATTTCAGAAACAAGTTTATTAGCTGTTATTTTCTTTAAAAATTATTTTAGTTAATTTTTTTTTTAATATGGAGGACTTGTTAAGTGCAAGATTTTAAAAAAAGGGTCACTAAGGGTTGTGTAGCCATGTAAACTACTGTTTGACTTTCTTTCTTCTGTAGCTACGGATGTACAACCATAGCGGAAAAAAAAAAGAATTCAAAATAAACACAAAACGTTTCTTTTCCAATTTGAATGTAGAATAACCTTGCTTGGAATGTGGGCGTGGCTTGAAAAAGGCGGAGCCTGGCCTGTTGAGTAATCTGGGAATGGGTGTGATTTGTCACTCGTAAATTCAATCAAAATGAAAACAAACGTAAAATAAAAAAAGAAACTTAAATGAAAACGATTTGATGCAACGGCTGCCGTATTTAACGTGGCCGTCTGCTGCGCCGCACCTGATTGAGAATCCCGAAGAAATTGTACGGCCTCTTGGGTCCCGGCGTCAGTGTGGCATCGGCGCACACGAAGGAGTAGTTTCCGAAGGGCGTGGCGTGCACGTAATGGAAGGAGCCCACCTTCTGATTGGCCGAGTATTTCCTAAAGAGCGCAGAAGATCACATCTGACGTTGAACGTGCCATTTCTTCACAAGCGCGTTGCGCACTTTTCTTTGGGCATCAAATGATACTTATACCAACCGGTAATAGTTGTTGACACTGTCCAGTGACATGATGTTGAAGGCATCTGGACAAAAAGAAGACAAACATTTACAGAGTCATTGTCGCACTTGCCCCAACTCATTAAGAACAAAATTGCACCCCTCTTGTTTTCTCAAGAAAACCGTAGACAAATAATTCCTGTACATTTTAGAAGTGCTTAAAAAAATAAATGAATAGATAGATAGATTGATTGATCGATAAAAAGACATGTATTTGCAAAAAAAGTTTCATGTCGCACTTGCCCCAACTCATTAAGAACAAAATTGCACCCCTCTTGTTTTCTCAAGAAAACCGTAGACAAATAATTCCTGTACATTTTAGAAGTGCTTAAAAAAAAAAAATAGATAGATAGATTGATTGATAGATAAAAAGACATGTATTTGCAAAAAAAGTTTCAAAATTACATATAAATAAGTATTTAAAACAACCTAAAAGAAGAAAATTGTCAATATTTTTGTGGGTTTTTTTTGTTGTTTTTTTGCAGACCTGCTGATTTTAATGTCTCATCAGCAGGTTGGGGGGGGTTCCTGGAGAATAAAACAAAAAGCAATATTTATAAATATGGGCAACATATATGTACGTTAATTAAAACAAAAAAATTGTGAGTCGTTTGTTGCAGCCCACCTCATTAAGAATACCCCCAAAATCTTTAAAAAAGGAAAAAAAAAAACAACGTATCATTTGCTTTTAGCGATCAAAGAACTCCACCAAGTCTGAACTATTGCAAAAATTCACTGAAATGTATATTTCATTATGTGATTAGCGTAATTTCCAAAGTTATTTTTAAGTTACTTCCAAATCCATAAAATATACCACTGATTTTGCTAATAATTAAGTTTTTGTTTTCCAAAAACATGCAAATATGATGAAGCGGCTATGCTGCTCGGCTAACCATTTGTTTTTGTAGCCATCTGTTTAATTACCCAAGTCGTCGGCTACTTCGTGATTCGTGGAGGATGCCGAACAGACAGAAAAAACAAAAACACCACACTGTTATAATACGCAACATATTGCTTCATAAATGGAGGGAGCATTTCCCTCTGAGGACTTGATCAAAACACTGATGATAAAAAAAGATTGCGGTCGATGAGACTTGTTTCATCCGACAAATGAGACGAGCTCACATTACAGCAAAGATATCAACCCTAATTGAGGTCTAACAGGACAGGATGTCCCTTCCTCATTTGTGCGTGGGATCTGGTTTCATTTTCAAGAAGAGCGCACAGAGCACGAGACAACGGGGGGAACTCAACCCTTTCCTGTCTTGGGGCTAAAAACGCAGCACTTCCACATGTCCAAATTAGCTGTTGGGAAATTTTAAAGGAGACAAACAGTAGAAAGCACAAAAACAGTCAAGCTAAAAATCTAGTCTCGTGGCGAGTCAAAAGCCAAAGAATAAAAATGAGTTTTAAAACGAGTTCTGAAGATGGGCAGCGAGGGGGGGGGGGGCTTGCCGAACGTTCAGCGGGAGGTTATTGCGAAGAGAGGGACCACCAACGGGAAAGCCTCGATCCCCTCTGAGCCTCCGCTTAGTTCTCGGTACCGCTATTCGTGTCATTTAATTTATTGCTTGTGTTTGTTTAAAAAATGCATGGGAAGAAGACCTTGACAGTAATAAAGAAATAAATAAATTGCATAATAAATCGCTATGGTAATATGGAAGGGAAGACAAGAAAATTGGAATTCGAATCTTTTTCAAAATCGATCAGCCGAAGTAAAAATTGTTACGATGACAGCAATCCATTACCGTGATTTCCCCGGATGTCGATCCACCGCGTGCGCTCCATCACGCCAGACTTCTTGAGGATGTTGTGGTACGCCTGCCACTCCACTTCATGCTGGAGAGAGCCCACCTTGCTCTCCGTCTTGGCGTCGGTCAGGTCGCCTGACCGGAATGATAAGATTTCAACATTAGACTCCATCCTTCCATTTAAATTGACGGTCAGATGTTTTGTTTTGTTTTTTTTTTTCCCCGATACCTGTCACAAGCACGAGTGACGGCTTGATCACCTCGATGGTGTTGGTGCAGAACTTTTCAAAGTCGGGAATCCGTCTCGGGTCGTGAAATCGGCTGATATGGATGTCGGACACCTGGAGAAGACGTGGCATCAGTCAAGCTGAAGTTGACCAAATTGATTTGAGTTTTCCTTTCGGCCTTGTATTTTTTTGGGGGGGGGCACCACTAAAAGGTAGACTGCAGAGACGTAGAGGCCATGACAACAACAAACGTGTTAACTGTAAAGCTGAATACCAAAAGAGAAAAAGAAAATTGGTTCTTTTTTCTGGTTTTTTTAAGGGTAGCGAAAAAGATCCATGACCTCCATGGAGCTGGAAATGACATAAGAACGAGTCTTGACTACGGGCATTTTTGTTGTTGTTGTTGTTGCACAAGAGGGCAAAGTCGACCAACATGTCCTCTGACAATGACACACTTCTGCACTCACTGACCCGTTTATGTCACTCATTCATGTAGCTCAGCCACAACGACTTGGGAGAGTGAAATAGACTTATTGCAGTCGGTCGTGGGCAGCACGGTGACCGAGCAGTTAGCACGTCTGCCTCCCAGTTTCAAGGTTCATAACTTGTCTCTGACCATCCAATGTGGAGTTGGTCGCCATCTTGGTGCATCCTAGAGTGCCTCAGAAAAGAGGCTATTTTTTTCTGAAAATAACTTTGCAGGTTCCCAAAACTAAAACACTTTCTATTGCCTACTGTTGCCACAAGGTGGCGACAAGCCATGACTTATATTTAAAAATAAAAAAACTCTTCAACTCATCTCGACATACGCTGGTGCATGAAGATACGAGTGACCACGACTGACAGGATTTTCAAGATATGTCTCATGGTTTAGTTTGCCCAAGGATTTATTTGAGCAAACTTGAGATACAAGGGCTGTCAGGTGGCAGTGAACGCAACTTTTCACAAAACGCAGCGTTTAGCAGATTCAATTAGTTAACAATTCAAAGTTCAATCTTTGAATTCTCTAGCAAGTAATGGGAAATACCAGAGATGGGCTAATGAGTAGCACGTCGTATCTTTATGGCTGTGTTATGTTTTTTGAACACAAATGGCCGAGCAGCACATGCAGATACTTTAACAATACACAAAAGTATACATTTTAAACAAACAAAAAAAAAACAAAACACAAAAAAGAACCTCCGTGACTCTTCATGTTTATCCATACTATACTGCCCCCAAATGGCAAGACAGAAGGTGCAGCACAAATGTCCATTGAATTGAAAGACAAACAAAAAGTATTTAATTCTTCACATTCTATTTAATTCCGCCATGACTATGTGTCATAAAATACTATATTTTAATAAAGTAGAGTTCATTTGTAATAAAAAGAAGACATTGAAAATATTGTCCTTAACTTGGCGGCTAGAATGGATTAACGTGTAATAATATTTTAATTAATTTCAATGGGGAACAATTATATGAATTGCAGGTGGTTTCAACAACCCCCCCCCCAAATAAAAATCCGCGAATAATCGGGGCTACAATGTGTAATACTTTTTATGACGTCTTTTCTTTGGTTGTGTTCCATAATCTTTTTTTTAAGTCAAATAATGTGGTTTTGGCTCAGTAAAGGCCGGTTGACTGAACCTCAAACTGGATGCATGTGTAGATTAAAACCAAGCAAATGTGTGTGCGTGCGCGTGTGTGTGTGTCATATATAAATTAAGAAAAAAAGAATCCCACCTGTACAAACCAGAATATGTTATCCAGGTGGTCCCCGGGAAACGGGGGAAAGGTTCCCCGGTCTCGTAAACTCCGTTTCGGGTGCCAAGCCGTGTCATAGCTGTCCAGCACCCAGGAGGTGAGGCACGCCAGGGCCAGTCCGACGAGAACCAGGGCGCCGAAAAGCTTCAGCATCCTCCGGCCGTAGCGAGAGAGGGTGGTGAGGTCTCGCTGCCGTCGTCGGCCCCGCACGGTACAAGAACCTCTGGCTACCGTCTTGTCACGCCTAACTCATAGGACGCCAGCGTAAAACAAATTAACACATAATGGTGGACTAAGTGGTGAGGAGGCGGTGGAGTCTCAGAGCGTTCGTGCGGCCGCCATCCTCCTCGCGGGAAACGCATCGGGGCACCCGGTCCTTTCGCCAGCTGGCTCGGAGTGGCTGCTGCCGGATGAGGAAGGAGGAAGTAGTTTAGCTCGAATTAGCTAAATTGCCGTTAGCTTGTTTGGTTAGCCGCCTGTCAGCTAACACCAACAGGGCACGGACCCGGCTGGAAGAAATGACGTCATTGTCATGTGATCCAAGAGGAGCAGCGGACATATTGATGATTCATTCGGATGATTAAAAAAAATCAATGTTTATTTGATTTTTGTTTGCTCCACAGAAACCAGAGAGATGTAAATTCACAAGAAAAGTTGATTATTAATCACATGCAGAATATTGTTATGTTCTAAGCAGACATACTGCAGCTCTTTTCACTCCTATTAGTCATTCATTCTCGAGACATGTTAACTCGGGGGTCGCCCCCCTTTGGCTCCACATTCCGCAATCACAAATCTTGAAAAGAAACATAAAGAAGCTCCCGGATTCACCCACAAAAGGTTGACAGCAGAGGGCAGTGTTTCATTTGGCAAATCAGCCGGTCCTAGACAACTATGCCAGAAGATTTCTCTGAATTCTCGTTGGCAGCATTATCGCGAGAACGTCGAAATCGCGAAATCTTTTCGCAACACCGTCCCAACCCTACTTTAGCTACATTCGTCACTTGGAGGAACAAAAGATGGGATGTTTCATAGGCTGTTTCCATGGCAACACGGGCTGTAATTTGGTTCGTTGAGCCCCGCCTTAGATATTCATCCATTCATTATCTGAACTGCTTTATCCTTACTAGGGCCCCGGGCGCGCTGGTGCTTATCTCAACTGTCTTTGGGCAGTAGGCGGGGTATACAATGAATTGATTGCCAGCCAATCGCAGGGCACACACAGACGAACAACCATTCGCACTCATGATCACACTTAGGGACAATTTAGACTCTAAATTTCCCAATCAGCCTGCCATGCATGTTTTTGGAATGTGGGAAGAGACCGCAGTACCCGGAGAAAACCCACGCAGACACGGGGAGAAGGTGCAAACGCCGCACAGGAGGGGCAGTCGAGGGTCGGGGGTCTAATGTACTGAAATTCAGTCAGCAAAGCGGCTGACAGTTATTCTTCAAGGCAAGTGAGGCATATTCTCGAAACGAAACCATCTTCGCCTTTTCCACCGCCATATTGAACATGTTTCAAATAAATTAACGTTCTTGCAGATTTTCGGTAATCACACGTTTGAATCTTTTTTTAACTATTATTATCGTAAATAGAACAGAGCACGTGCTAATTATTTAGTTTCATTTTTATTTAAAAATAAAAAAATACATACATAGATGCATACATAATTAACAGGACGACAACGCGCGAACGCGCGTTTTGAAAGCTCCAGTGCGCGTGCTCGGCTGGCTTGTTGCGAGGGATTGAAGCCTCGGGGGCGCGCACGCAGGAAGTCCCGTCGTTTCACGTCACGTCGAGGCACGTCACTGTACGTCACGGGTCCGCATCGACCCACACAAGAGATGCTGAGGTGACAACCCTGAGCAGGAGAAACCAATCTGGGAACCTTTTCCCACCCTCTTTTTCCGACTCCACGCCACGATGGGATCCAGCTCCGCGTCGCCCCGGGCCTCTTCCGCGGATTTAGCGGCCCTTATCTAACCACACCCGGGCTGTTCGTTTTCGGATCAAGGCGAGGTAAAGACCTTCACTTCGCATTCACATTCGCGTCCCTCGCCATTTTCCCCCAAGCGTCGCTGTTTGTGTCACCACGATTGATAGCGTCCGTTTCCACGCCATTTAGAGTCAGTCTGCTGCTTTGGCAACGTTCTCGCCACGCAACGGTTGCTGTTAGTGTCCACTGTCACTGCGGCGGCGGTGCATCCCCCCACCCCACTCTAAAAACACGGCACGCTGCTTGCTTAGCTTCGTGGTCGTGTTCGTGTGAACGTATTGTACAGTCACGCGCGATTTGAACGCCGGCGGCTCATATTCACGCCACAGCCGAGTCCTGCGTGGGTCAGCTCGTCATGCATGAATGCATGATGCTGAGTGGACGGTGGTTGAACGGTGGGGTGTGGGTGGATGTCGCCCCATGCTGGCTCCACACCAGCATGTGCAGCACAAAATGGAGTCAGATGTGGTTTGAGATGTGCAGGTATTTATTCATTTTTCAATTAATTTTCTGTTGAACATTTATATTAAAATGTTATTTTGTTATTTTATTGGCACGCATACAATTGCACACCATCTTTATATTACAACATTAATATTATGCTAATCCATGTTTTACTACACATTTATAGTTTTGACATGTTCTGCTCTGCTGTACATTTATATTTTCTTTATGCCCTTGCATTTATTTTAATATATTATTTAGTTTGTGGTGTACTTATATTTTAACATTTATATGTTTTAAAATTCAAATATATATAATTCGTAGTTATGCAGCATAACAATACCCCATCTTTTTTTTTAATATTATTTAATAATCAGGAGAACAAATTTTAGAAATATGAACATGTGTGTGTGTAGCAGACAAGTAAACATTGTACGTAAATATACATGCAAAAAGTATCGTAGCAATGTAAAAATGTAATAAATGATGTGCAGCAGCACATTCAGAAAAAACGAAAACAGATTTGCAACAAAACTTGTTTATAAATAAAATAAATACATTTAAAAAGATTTATGTACTGAGAACAAAAAAAAAAATCTGTTATTTTTGTATGAAGGAAATTAAATGGCTTTAAGGCAGTTTGAAATGCGAAACAGTGACAGTTACCCAATCAGGACACTTCATTAGGCCCCTTCGCACAATCTAGTAAAGTACATGCGCTCTGATTCAAATGAATTTGACACAATTTTAAGATTTGAGACTGTATTTAGGATTGTGGCTGTAATTTGCGCTACATCACACAGGGAGCCACTGTGGCACAGAACGATGGTCACCATGGAGACGGTAGGAGGATGGTGTGGATCACGGACGTGTGTGATTCATGGCGGTCTTGGAGGGTGGTGTCGCTCTCACAATCTGCTCCTCTTTGCCCGCTAGTTGCTCCGAGGGAGAATCTCACTCAACGCTTTTGTGGAGTTAATCCGTCATTGAGCTCAATCCTGGCAAAATTTGCTGAGGTGTTGCATGATTTCGTGCACACTCGTAACAGTGCTAACTCTGTTCTATGCAGCATCTTAAAACTTGACTGGAAAACCTCCATGACATTATATTCATCCACTTTTTGCCCCCCCCCCCAAATTAAAATCAAATCAAAGGCTGCTTGGAAATGCATCTAAAATTCGACACCACTTCTTGATCATTTAGATGTCATGTGCAGCTCTACTTTGGAGTCACCTTCCTGTGACCACGGTTCACCTAAAGCACAGCGCAGTTGAGCGTCCACAGACGACAATCCATCATTGCCGCGTCTCATCCACGTGCTGAAGCATAGCACCCGCGTCGAGGCCGAGGTCGTGTTTCACGGCTGCCTTGTGCGATGGTGTCCCGTCTAAAAACTTGATGGATGGCTTCTTTGATGTTCCGGATAGAGTCCCTGTGAAGGCCTGTTACGTAAGGCCACGTGTCGAGCGATGAATGAAATGTTTGTGCAAGTGTTATGGGGAAGCATCTTCTTACTACGCAGCTAAAACTGTCGCTAATCTTTCCGTCGTCAGGTTCCGATTCTTTGGTAAATCGCCGGGGGAAAGTGATGTGGGAGTCAACGAAGGCGCGGTCTGCTTTTGGAGGCAGCTGCAAAGAGGCTGGCAGGTCTTGCTCCCAAGCTGAAGGCTTATATGATGTCTTGTCAGCTGCAGCGTAGACACTCGAGTGATGGGCAAGCTTTAGAGCTCAAGGGCCACATTTGCGTTTTCAGTGACAGCTGGGCGTGTAGGAAAAAAAAAAAAATCATGGTGATTTTCAAAATTGTGTTATTTAGAATTCATTTAATCCTAATTGTGGTTGGATATGGCAACATTGTAAGATTTTACGATATATGTACGTAGATAACATGCATGTCCACCACCGTGTGTGTGTGTGTGTGTGTGTGTGTGTGTGTGTGTGTGTGTGTGTGAGTACTTACCTTTTGTTGCCAGCATTTTAGACTCAATGGCTGTGTGTTGAATTGTTTTAAAGGTACAGTAATTTTACACAGTTATACATGCTTTACACTCACAAAATAATTTATGGAGCAAAGTCTCCATTATTCAACGTCGTCTTTCTTCGACATTCAAGTATATATTCCTCATGAAGTCGCTTCACAATGTCATGTATGTGCGTTACGTGACTTAAAAAATTGTTTTTTTTTTGGTGATCTTTTGTATCATTTCTCATCCGCAGAGTTGTTTGACAGGCTCCAGATGCTCGGCCCCATTTGAGACTGTCGCTTAAGAGTGGTGGAGGGCGCGGGGCAGAGGCAGCGTAGCGGTCCGGTTCTTCAGGCGGCATGAGCGGGGGAGCGGAGCAAGCCGACATACTCAGCGTGCTCTCCCTGGTCAAGGAACGATGGAAAGTGGTGAGTGCTGCCGTTGGTTTAGCTGGAAGGAGTCGTCAGTCACATCTGTGCAAGTCCGAAGTGAATCGCCAGTCTCGACTTTCACGTTTCAAACACATGCCACTGGTTAACTTTCAACAACCGCGTGGTTAGCGCGCATACTTCTTTCACCCCTGTTACAATTGGATGCCATCGAAAAGGGCTTGACAAAAAGCAACTGCATACTATACCAAAATCTGTACGTTACAACATTTTTGAGATGTGTACAGGAGTATCCAACAACCGTAGACAAGAAAAATAACTCTTACACTCTAGACCTGAGTGCCTTCGGCGACGCTAAACGAATGGCTATGCATTCCATTAGCTTTGGCGGGAACGTCGCCACTGCCAACATGGCCGCCACGTAAGCACGTCTGTTTGTTGTCTATGACAATAGCAGCGCATCCTGGAAATACTGTTTCCGTCTGTTGACTGCTCTAGTGAACAACAGCGAACGATTCTGGAACAAACAGACGAGTTTTGCTGTCCATTAAATTTGAAATCTGTTAAATCTTGCGTCCCTGGCAAGTGATATCAGTGCATTAATCGTAAACTTGTCACATAGTTCAATGAATAAATTTCATCTGAGCAAGTCCCAAATCAAACGTAAAAGTAAAAATTCTCAACTTCAGTCTAATTTGAGTCGTGTGACCCGAGGCGCACCGGACGTTTTCCAGGGTCGCAAGTAGCATTGCGGCAGAGCAAGGTCTAAAAATAGCCTCGCCGTTGCTATTTCTGGCCCTAATTGAGCTATAAAAGGGGCAAGAGAGAGGGCGCGTCGTTCCCAGAGAGACAAAGCCAGCGAGACCAACTCCTTGGGTGCCGGCCGCGTTAGCTCCTCGCCGTGTTGCCGCTTACATAAGAATGCTGCAGTTAATCTCCGCATGGAGGACGGTGAAGGGCACGCGGCGGTTTAGAGGGAAATCAAAGCCCCGCTTAGTGCTGAGAGGTGAGAGTGTAATGTTTGCGGAGGCAGGGTGCAAATTAGGCGAGAATACGCGCGCACGCGTGCCGTCTGGCAGCCATGTGCCTTTCCCCCGGTGTGTTGAACGGAGGCTGGCGTGTTTAGATAGCAGCCTGTCTTTCACGAGAGGACTGGATGGATGCACGCGGAATCTTAACGAGTTTAATGCAGGGCAATCCAGCCCACTGAGCATTTCCATGAGACGGGAGTCCTGTCATTTTTGTTGCATTCATTTGTCCTAAAAATGATTAATTCAAATGTATTTGCTCTTTGTTTAAAAGGAAAAAAAAGACATCTCATTAAGTAGTTGAAAAACAAGTAAAATTTGTGATGTTTCCGTGTGAAACAAGGAATTAATTTAGTTTTTTTTTCCCACCTCCCTTGTCATCCAGGTGAAAAAGATCGGGGGCGGTGGTTTTGGGGAGATCTACGAGGCGCTGGATCTGCTAACGCGGGTCAGCGTCGCGCTCAAGGTGGAGTCGGCGCAGCAGCCCAAGCAGGTACTCAAGATGGAGGTGGCCGTGCTCAAGAAGCTGCAGGGTGAGTCCTCCAACGCATTCGATCCGATCGGTTTCATTTTTCACCCGATTGATCGTTCTGACCGCTGTGACCTCCGGAGGTTGGTTACCCGAGACGATGGTTGGGATTCTTGCCAGAGGCCATTCAGGAACAGTCTTGCCCTGAAGAGACGCAGGAAATCGGCCGTTGTGCTTTGAAGCGGACCTTTTGTAAGGTCACTTTGAGGTCATTTCCAGGGGTCCTTCAAAGGCACGGTCGTTCCGAAAATGTCATCAGATTGCTGTCAAATTTGAACCGTGTCGAGACAGAAGGGGGCGGCATTTCTCTTAGCAACCTAAAATTTGGTTGCCGGCTGTTTTATGAGTAGCTCCACAAAATATACTTAAACTCCACAAAATCAGAGCGTGAAGCTTTTATTCGAGACTCACTTTGGATAGCATCCCTGTTTCCGGTGGTGCACAACATAACAATTAAAACATTTTCTCTTCTTCTAACGCACATGCCCTTCATGTTGCTCTTCATCCGAGTGAAAAATCAATGGGCCGAGATCATGTTATCCATCTAATGGCCTCGGCCCAGTGTTGTCGTGCTTGCGCTGGTTCCCCCGAGGGAATGTAACCGGAGATGAAACTTGACTCCTCAGATCTTCGTCTCAAACACTGCAGAGCCACACAGCTGTTAAGAGAAAGTATCGAGAGGAGCCTCACGCTAAGACCAGTGGAAGTCCGCCATTTTGTCCTGAAGCGGCCATTTGAGGCTCATTCCGGAGATTTCAAGGGGTCCTTGACAAACAAACTAAGTCCTAGAACTTTTGTCTGATTGCTACCAAATTTGAAGCACATGGGACACACTAAAGTGGGCAAATGTTACGTTTTTGTTCTTGCCTGTGGCCAGAGAAGATTTGTGACTCAACGTTGCTACCAGATTTGAATTTTGTCTACCAGAAACAATAACAATAACTCGCCATACAACACATCACTCGGATCAAAATTCAGCCCCCAAAACCGATTTCACTTATCAACATGAAATTTGTTACACATGTCCACCGTGAGAAGACCTACAAAAAAAAAAGTCCCTTGAAGCCACGTCAGAAGAACTTACAAAAAGACAAATGGGCAGCTCATGATGAAGCCGTTACCGCTCGGAAGGTTTTGCGGCCTCAGCTGCAATGTCCTGCAAGACTTAACGAGCCATCTGTTTTCAAGTGTTGACGCGATGTTACGGGTCAACACTAATAAATCGGGGTGGCCAACCAGTCCGAAGCACATCACTGTCTGACGTTGCACACGTTTTGCTCCTCGCAGGGAAGGACCACGTGTGCCGCTTCGTGGGATGCGGCCGCAACGACCGCTTCAACTACGTGGTGATGGAGCTTCAGGTCAGTTGCCTTTGTCTTGCCTTGCACAACAAACCTACTACTAGTACCGCTGTCCAAACGTGACGGCAGTTGAGACAGCCGAGCTAATCCATGTCTCCTGGCAGGGTCGTAATCTGGCCGACCTGAGGAGGAGCATGAGCCGCGGGACGTTCAGCATCAGCACCACCCTGCGTCTCGGCCGCCAAATCCTGGAGGCTATCGAGAGCATCCACTCGGTGGGCTTCCTGCATCGTGACATCAAACCAGTAAGCTGTTTTTTTTTTTCTTTTGTTTTGGTTTTGCTTTTGTTCACAAATGGGGGCGGGATTTGTTTCTGTACTATTTATTCATTTTATTTACCCATGTAGTATGATGACAGAAATGTCTTCTAAAATTCTTATGTAATAATAAAAAGAATAATAATAATAATAATGCACCACACTTTGCGCACCCCCTCCTTTCTGTTCATATTTTCACTGGGTTCTTGTTTTGTTCTCCTTCAGTCCAACTTTGCCATGGGTCGCTTCCCCAGCACGTGCCGCACATGCTACATGCTGGACTTCGGCTTAGCCCGCCAGTTCACCAACTCGTGCCAAGAGGTCCGACCGGTAAGTGTCCCTCCCCTCGCCGCCCACCCGTACACTGCCAGGGAACCAAGGAAACTTTTTTTTTTTTTTAAGTACTAACTTATCTCTATGTTTTTTCTCAGCCCCGCCCAGTGGCAGGATTCCGAGGAACGGTGCGTTACGCATCCGTCAACGCACACAAAAATAAGGTAAATATGTTATGTCCCAAAACTGTGGGAATCCACTAGAATTGGGTGTGTTTTGCTGATCTGGTGTGATACACTGACAGGGAAGAGTGGGGTGCACCCTCTCCGTCTGGATTTTTGATCTAGCTAATTTTATGCTAGCTCATTTTAAAATTGTGTGAAAGGTGTAGCTTTTTATGCTAACTCATTTTAAAATAATTTTTGTGATGTTTTTGACTTTTTTTTTGTGTGTGTGTTTGTTGGGGGTGCGTGCATACCTGGGGGAAAAGGATGTGGAATCTCTTTTGGGATTTTCTGATCTAGCTACATGCGTCTAACTTGTGCTAGCTAATTTCACAATTCTTTTGTGACATGTTTGACGTTTGTGTGCTATCTAATTTTTGAATGATTTGAGAAGTACTTGACTTTTTTGTATGTGTTTGACTTTTCGACACTAGCTAATTTTGAAAATATTTTGTGACATTATTTTGTTCTTGTGGTCGAATGATTGGGTGCACAGTTTCTGTCATGATTGTTTAATTAAGGTGCATGTGTTCACATTGTTTTATTTTCATAATTTCGTGATGTTTTGGCTTTGTTATGGCCATTTTTTTTTTTAATCTTTGCTTGGCGTGTGTGTGTGTGACATGTTGTCCACTTACTTGACACCTCAACCTCGGTGTACTTGTGCAGGAGATGGGTCGCCATGACGACCTGTGGTCCCTCTTCTACATGCTGGTGGAATTCCTTGTCGGCCAGTTGCCGTGGAGGAAGATCAAGGACAAAGTAAGGCAAAAACAGTCGCACCCGCCACGCATCTTGCAAGCACAAATAGCATTTGACCAGCTTGCGTTTGTTTTAACTCAGGAGCACGTGGGCAAATTAAAGGACACGTACGACCACCGTCTGATGCTCAAACACCTACCGGCGGAATTCAGTGTCTTCTTGGAACACATTTCCAGTCTGGACTACTTCACCAAGCCAGACTACCAGGTGACCAAGGCCTGCCGCCATTTTGTGGTCCGACATCAAATTTTTAGCAGCCCACAACATATGATATGCTCTGCTGTACCAAACTATGCAGCTATGTGGATATGAGTTGAGGAATTTCATTTTACACAAAAGGAGTGTTTTGTTGCCATCACTGCAGAAAGAAATATAGCAAGCACACTGTGGAATAATTATGAATATAGCAAATTAAAAAAGTGCTCAAAGTAAATGGGCCTTCTCCTGTTGTGCTCTTGTTGGCCACCAGGGGGCAGTGTGAGAAGATGGTCATAACTAAGCTGAATCGAATAAAGCTATCCCAACATGATAACTTTTTCTATGCCTCTAGGTCAGGAGTAGTTCAAATCAAGTCAATGTTTTCTTTACTTTGCAAATGAAGAAAATTCAGCTGAAAATCACACGATTGGCCCCAATTTCCTGTCACATGATGGGATCGGTACAACTCTAGTAATGATAAGACTGACCTTTTATTTTTTTTCCCTCTCAGCTGTTGATGTCGGTATTCGACAACAGCATGAAGACGTACAACGTGGTGGAGAACGACCCGTACGACTGGGAGAGGACATCCACCGACGGGACCCTGGTGATCAGCGCCAGCGCCACCACGCCGCAGCACCTCACCCGCCTCACGCCCGCACACATGGGGTGCGTCTCCTTTTCAAATCAACACTTTCGGTTATACTTTTAAACAACAATTTAAAATTGGGGGCACAGGCCTATCGTAACAGGATGATTGAAATGGCCTCAAGGACCCATGTGTGAAATTGAACAGCGAGCCTTCTATTTTGCTTTGAAGCAGCTAATCCTTACCCGGATTTGAAATTCAAAAAAAAAAAAAAAAAAAACTCTCACCCTAATTTGAAAAACTGCTTTCAAACCCTAACCCTTGTTAGATGCCCTGACCCAAGTTTGGAACCCTAATTTGAAACCCGAAGCAAAACATAAATGTTTCCAGGAACTGGACTTTTTCTTTTCATAACTCAAAGCTCACGCGGCTAACAGAGGTCCAAATCACTTCCTGTATCTTTTCCCGCTTCAGCATGGCCAACGCCTCTGTGATTCCGGGCGACCTGCTGCGCGAGAACACAGAGGAAGTTCTGCAGGATGAACAGCTCAGCGACGCTGACAACATCGGCGCGCCCGAACGCGTGCCGGGTTCTCCGGGCCACCCGCCGCGGACGCAGGAGGCTGACGTGTGGGAGGAGCTGGACCGCAACCGCAACCGGATACGCACGGCTTTGTGGAAGGTGAACTGCAAATTACCGTCGACATCATTTTTGTCCGAACCCTACATCAGTTCAGAACCTTAACTTTGTGCACATTGCGACCTGCCCTGCCGTCCAGGCTGCTGCCGAGGAGGAACAAAGCAACCCCCTGGGTAGCCCAGGCCACCAGAGCCCGTACGGAGGCCCCAGCGTGGGGTCGCCCGTCAAGATGTCGTCGGAGGAGCGCGAGGGCCCTCTGCTCAGGAAGCTGCGCAACATCCACAGCTTTGAGCTGGAAAGGAGACTGGGCCTGGAGTCCAAACCCAATCCAGAACGCTTCCTAGAGGCCTGGTACGTACCCAGAGACTCTCTGGAACCCGAACCGGGCTTGAAACCCCAATTTGAAGCACAATTTGGTTTGAAGACCTACTTGGAAATCTTAAAGCTAATTTCCCCCCCGATTCATGACTTGAAATTCGAACCCTCGCTCGGAACTCTTCTTTGAACCGTTAACCTTGATTTGAAACCCGAGTGCTTACATGAAATCCTTCTTTGAAAACGTCTTGAAACCCTAATTTTGACCCCAAACTGCACTGAATTAACCAACTCTAGTCCTTGTGTTGTTCAGTGTATACTTAGTGTCTGTTTGGTGTCATTTTAGTTCCACAAAGCAGACGCCCAGCAGCGCCCAGCAGCAGCAGCAACAGCAAAAACAAGAGGATGAGGAGGCAGCCGAGGGGGCCGCCATCATCCCAGTGAACCAAGCTTTAGCTCCTCCTAACGGAGAGCGTCGCGAGCGGGTTTGGCACTACGACGAAGAGTTCCTTTCCGGCGGCGGCGGCGATGGCGGCGGGTCTCCCAAAGCACCGTCTCCCGCCTCTCTGGAGCACGGCGACGGGGCTGCCAGCAGCGGGGGCTTCGTGGCCCTCAACCTCAGCTCAGGCCGGCAGGACGTGGACTCACGGGACTGGGTTCTGGTGGAGCGGCCCGGAACAAAAGCCAGCTCCAGCCCTTCAGAACAGGAAGAGGAAGAGGAGGAGGCGGAGGTCCTGCAGGAACCGGGGTGGGAGCGGGGCGTGCTGAGTCCCGGCTCTGGGAAAGCAAAGCCGGACAGCACGGCTTCCTCCAAGGAGAGCGCGAAAGCCGACAAACTCGAGCTCAGTGTGGGGCCTGCGGAGGCCCTGCCGCCCGTCACCCCCACCAGCCCGGCCGAAGCGCTGACGGAGGGGATCCTCACCCAGGTAAGACCTAGCCCATCGTGCTGTGCTTTTTTTGGGGTCGGGGGGGGGGGGGTCACTATTCAAAGGCTGCTGAGTCGGCGTTCTTGCTGTCAATCCTCATTTCTGGCAACTCTGCTGTGGAGACAAACAAAATGCTTGGTAACCCGTGTTTCCCAACCTTTATGAAGTCAAGGCATAAGCATAAGCGCAAAGCGTATCTTTTGCCTTATAGTAAAATTGTCCAGGTCATTTTTTTAATGTTTCTGGGAAGATAAGGGAAAAAAAGCCCACAAGAATTTCGGTGAACAAGAGGAATCCAGTGGCCTCGATTCAACCTTGACAATTCCAGTTACTTGGCTGATTGAAAATTAACATGGACCGAGAGACACTGTGGCTGGGAATCACTGGTTCATGTGAACATTAAATCCACACTTTGTTAATTGTGTTTCGGCATGGAGGTGCTTTTGGCTTTGATTTGCAGATCATGCTTGAGTTGATTTGAACTTTTCATGTGTGAGTGACACCACTCAGAAGTTTTGCTCGCTTGAAATGGCAAAAATCATCATTAGCGATGGGCATTTGACCACGTCTTTTTTTTTTGTTAGTTTTTTTTTAAAATACTCCCTCCCAAGGCAGCGCATTGCAGAGTCGACATTCTTTCCCCTCCATTCCATGTCGGTGCTATGTAGAGCAGTGATACGTTTTCTGTTACTACCTTTAAGGCGGAAAATTGTCCGGTCGACTTTGTGCCCCAATTTCTAATTCACTGTTCCCCCATTTCTGTGTCAATGGCATTTATCCAGAACAGTTAAAAAAAATTATGAAAAAAACGCAGCATGGAAGCTGCTTCTGAAACTTCCTCCTGAGGCAGAAAATTGCCCGGTCAGCCTTATACCCCTCCATTCCGTGGAGAACAGTGATATGGAAACAAGTTTTCCCGTCAGTTTCACCGCCCCTCCTCTCTCCACCCTCCCATCTCTTAGCACCCAACCTCTCCTCCGTCCCTGCCCGAGGAAGTGGCCACCCGGACCTCGGGGCCCATCCCTCTGCGCTCCCCCAGCCCTCACACCCTCTTCAGCACCCTGTCGGACCCTCTCCACCAGCGCCACCCCCTGGCCATGAGGCGTAGCCAGTCTGCCGACCAGCACCGGGACCGGCCACCGTCTTCTTCCTCTTGCCACGCTTCCTTACCGCTTCCGCTCAGACCCTCACCCAGTCGCAGGAAACTGCCCGCCATCCCGGCCGGCGCCGCCAACGCCAACTTCCCCTCTGTCATTCATATAACCAGGGCCCAGCTGCAGCAGGTGACCGGCCCCTTCACAGCGGAACCTCTTAAGTCCAGTGCAAAAAAAAAAAAAAAAAAAAAAGACAAATCTAAATCGAGGCATGTTCATGTTAATTTTGCGCAACATCTTGGCTTGTTTTTGTGATTGACGGGGTCGGAAGTCCATCTTTTTTAAAGAAGTGAAGCAAATATTAAAAGTCTCTGTTATATGAACATGAATGCACGTGAAATTATATGCATCGCAAAATGAGTCAGAATGCGCACGGAGACTATTACCAGCCAGCCAAATCCACACTCTAATTTGCCGACACCCACGTCACTCACCAGACCATGCCCTAGACTACAACGAGAGGATGGCGACCCCAAGTGGGCAAAAATAATACCCATGCTCATTTTATTGTGTTTAATCCCGCAAAAGCAATTTTTCGCCGATCAATCGGTGGGCTAATTGCTTCAATACTCGATTTAAGAAAATATTCCATAGCTGCAGCTGTCAAATTTTGCCCAAAACAGCCAAAGAAAAGGCAAAATGCAAACATCACGTCTGTGACTTCGGAGGTTCCACTCTAAATCGACCTCCATTCAGCTACTATGGCAGATCATTTTTTTTTTCCTTTGTTCATTTTGTGGCTGCTTGTTTTGGCTTCTGCAACCTCCCCTCCCCCTCTGGTTTTCTTTGCTGAAACGCTGATGCTCATGCATTGACAGCATGGCTCGAACACGTGTTCTTGCCACAAGTGATCTGAGCACAAGTGTGTGTGTGTGTGTGTGTGCTTGCGTGCGTGCGTGCGTGCGTGCGTGTGTGTGTGAGTGAGTGAGTGTTATGTGAGTGCAGCATGTGTGTGCGTTTGGAATGTCGACTCATGACCACAGGTCGCATGGTCTCTTTTGTTTCAGATCGTCTTTGTGCTCTCCATCTTCCTCTTCCTCTCTCTCTCCCTGTATTTGTTCCTCACCCTCTCTTCACTGAAGCCCCCTGCCAAGTTGCGTGAAACCAAACCTTTCCTGTCTGCCCGTCCCCGGTTTAGCACTCACGAGCTTGACTGACACCATGCCCCATAGCACGTGTTGTGTGTTTGATAACGGTAGCTATGGCACTGCATGCTGTTGTTGACCAACTAATCTCCATCGATCACCAAATCCGCTATTCGCGGGGGATGGGGATCGAGCCCTGCCGCCAACAGCGAAAAACTGCCAGTCCTTGACACACCACTAAAAAGGTTCACAAATGCCGATAGATGCCACAACATGGCGCTAAGCTACTACTTTTTATGGGACAGGGCATTATAGTACAGGTACAGTGCTGTAAAAAAAAAAAAAACTCCCAAATCGAGGGTGGTATTTTTCAGGGGGCTTAGTTAAAAACACAAATTCTTCACATTGTTTCAATTTTCGCCAGTAACCAAAGCAGTACCTCGGGGTTGTTGAAAAAAAAAAAAAAAAACGCGTTACTGATTTGTAATGCATTTCATACACAGCATAACTCAAGATGCTTCACTTGGAATTCAAAGTATAGCATTTAAAAGCAGGGTAAATTTGGCTCCTCCCTCTGCAGCTCACTTTCTTGACACCAATTACTACTTTCCTATTAAACTGGGACTTATAACATCTTGGCCTGGACAGAGAGAGCGCAAAAAGTTGTTCAACGGATAGGTAGGCAAAGGTTTTGGGGGGGGGGGGGGATTACACTGATGCGGTTGGACATTCACAAATGCGCCTCTTCTCAATTTTTGCTCAGGAATTTATCCCCCTTCTTCACTTATGAACCCCCAGGCTAAAACCATGTCTGCGATCAAAATATTGTTTGGCGCCGTGGAAATGAGTTGGAGGAGCTTTATTTAGTGAGCCCGTTGCACGATCTCCAAAGTAATTAAAATAAAGAAATAAAAAACGTGCTTTAGCACCATCTGCGGCATCTGTCGGCAATTCCAGAAATTTTTGTGGGGGTCTCAACTTCTCGTGCATGACCGCTATTCGCACCAGGGCTCAGTCACTATTCCACGCGAATAGCAGCGGTTCACTGAACTCCCAAATTTCGCCTCCTGCATCAGGCTACTTGCTGGAGCGCCACAGCATGACATGTTGTAGTCTCTCAGCAACGAGCCTTTTTTCCAGCAATTAAAAACATACCCCCCACCCCCACCCCCCCGGGGGGTTTCGCAGCCTGTTCACTTGAAATATGTTTTCCCTTTGTCCGTCCCCTCCAGCTGACAGCTCAGCGTCCGTCCGGGCTGTCTTCGGGGTCGGACAGCGTCCACCCACCGGAGAGATTTGGCGAAGCCGAAGCGGAGCCCAGCGCGGACTCCCCGGGGACGCCCACGGACCCGCCGCCGGTCAACGGGGACGCCTCGAGTCCGGTGCCGAGCCGCCAAAGCGACTCCCCCCACTCCCCTCGTAGTCCCTCTTTGCCGAACGGACACCAGTCGCCGACCCCTCCCTGCTCTGAGAAAGACAATCTAGCCCCAGAAAAGCCGGGCAGCCAAATTTCCCCGTCCGCGCCTCGACGCCGGCAGAGTCGCATCCCCGTACTGGAACCGCCACCCCCGGGCTCAGCCAAAGAAAAACTGCTGCAGAAGAAAGCCAACAACCAGGTCCCGCTGCCATCCCCCTGCGCCTCGCCATCCCTCTCCGACCGCCGCGCACCCGCCGCCGTGGCCTCCCTGGCCAGAGATCCGCTGTCGTCGGCCTCGGACCGCTCCCAGGAGGAGGACTCGCTCATGGGCTCACGCTCGGACCGACACGGGGACGGCTCCCTGTCCTCCTCCTCCAGCCCCATGTCCCGGCGGAGCAGGATCCCTCGGCCCGTCCACTCTACCTTGTCCGCAGAGCAGCTGGCCGCCCAATTCCTGCCCCGCCCGCCTCCTGGGAAGCCGCCATGCCGCAACACGGTGGAGGGCAGGTGCTTCAACATTTCATTGTCTTTTTTTAAAAATAATGAATTCACATTACAGTGTTTTTTTTAAACCAGCGTTGTCAATGGACATCTTTGTTTTAAAGTCAAACAAAAAGACCAGGCAGCTCCCTGGCTCAGCAGATCGTCAAAGAAAGTGAAATTTTACTTCAATAAATTAATAGCTGGTTAAAATTTTCACTCATCTTTGCTTTAAGTTGAAAAAAAAAAATGGAGTGCAGGAAGTTGCGAGCATTTTGGCTCCGATGCAGCCCTGAAATTTGTTCCACCTGAAATGACCTCTGTCCCCCATTTAGGATCCGACGCTACCGCATCCGATCGGGCAGCACCAGCGACTCGGACCTCCTGACCTGCCTGGCTCAGCTGATGCACGGCGCCCGCGGCTCCGCCGCGCCGTCGTCCGGAAGCTGGCGTAAGGGGCCGACGGGCGTCAGCAGCCTGACCGGCTCGCCGCATCACGTCCGCAGCTCCAGCGCCTCGCCTCGCAGCTCGTCCTCGCTGCAGCGTTCCGTCAGCTCCTCGCCCTCGCGCCACGAGCACCGCGGCAGCTTCGGAGGAGGAGGAGAAAGCTGCCAGGGCCGCAGCCGCTCGCCGCCCAGCTTTTCCGGATCGCCTCCGCCGCGCCGACTCTTCCACCACCACCACCAGGAAACGTGCTGCAGCCGGCAGGCCCGCACCGCCGCCTTGCACCTGTCCAGGGCGAAGGGCTGCAGTCGGGAAGGCAAGTGCTCCAGCAAGCTGGCCAGATAGTTGCCCGGGAGGTGAACGCAGAACAGTTTTCGGTATCCCTCCTTCTCTTTCCGAACCTCATCGCGCGCCCCCCTTGTTCCATTACTGTTTTCTAATGTTCATGTTATCGTGTTGGATAACAAAATAGTGCAGCTGCGATTTTATTTCCTGTCCAGGGATCAGTAGTTGGTACTGTAGCACGGTGTTTTCCAACCTTTATTGAGCCAAATGGAAAAAGCGCAAGCGATTCAGTCATTCAAATACAATTTCAGTCACATCTTACAATTCTCCTTAAAAATGTACGATTTGCAGATAGGGCTGCAATTTAGGATTATTTAAATAAGTGATTCATCTGTTGATTATTTATTTATTTATTTGATTATTCGATGAAACTTTTTTTTATATACTTTCATTCTAAACAGGACTTATTTCAAATTAATAGTGCAGAAAATTCACAAAGAAATTTCCTAGGAGTCACTTACTGGTTTGGTCCATAACATGTCTGCCATTTTTTCGGGGTCTTTGTGTAATAGTGTTGCTAAGAAGCAGGAACTGACTGAAGACTTTTTTTTTTTTTTGAAACCATTCTAGTAACAGTACAATGAATATGCACAGGCAACAAGAAAACCATACTTTTTTTTTTTCAACATACTGTAGCACGGTGTTTTCCAACCTTTATTGAGCCAAATGGAAAAAGCGCAAGCGATTCAGTCATTCAAATACAATTTCAGTCACATCTTACAATTCTCCTTAAAAATGTACGATTTGCAGATAGGGCTGCAATTTAGGATTATTTAAATAAGTGATTCATCTGTTGATTATTTATTTATTTATTTGATTATTCGATGAAACTTTTTTTTATATACTTTCATTCTAAACAGGACTTATTTCAAATTAATAGTGCAGAAAATTCACAAAGAAATTTCCTAGGAGTCACTTACTGGTTTGGTCCATAACATGTCTGCCATTTTTTCGGGGTCTTTGTGTAATAGTGTTGCTAAGAAGCAGGAACTGACTGAAGACTTTTTTTTTTTTTTTTGAAACCATTCTAGTAACAGTACAATGAATATGCACAGGCAACAAGAAAATCATACTTTTTTTTTTTTTTGTACTCGCAGGAATGTGCTTCCCATAGTTGATGGCATAGATAGCCGAATGAAGAATGTTTCTTTCTTTTTGCGTAAATGAAGAGTAATTTTCGGCCCGGCTAAGTGAAATTGGATAACTTCCCTGGGCACATTAGCGGTTGGGAATCACTGCGACAGAGTGTCCTCTGGTAAGTCGCTTCCCTGTTCATTTATTTCGCGTTTACAGTGCGGTATATAGTCACTTATTTATCACTACTATGAATGCACTTGGTTTGCATACTGAGACTGTTTCGGCTTTTCAACAAAGCCGTGCCACGGTTGTACAGTTGTGTTCATGGAGATATTTCTTTGGATGCTTGGCATCCGTGAGACAAGTCCCCTCTCTCCTTTTTGGGTGTGCTCCACTTGAACGAAATCACTACTGAGATACAATCAGTCTTGTCGAGTGCGTGGAAACACGCGAACCTTCCTGTGCCTACTGAAGTCCCGAACCCATTTTGCGCCTTTTGATATCTGGCATTTTTGTGGTGACGCTCAGAAACCCTTTTTGCCCTGCCGGTGTGTCGACCCGGCATCGTTGCACCTTGGGAGGCAGTAAGAGAAGCTCCTTTCAGACCATTTGAAAGTCAGCCTTTTTGCGTGTGGCTCTTACAAAGAGGAGGAGATGGGTTGGCCCCGCAATTGGGTGCCATCAAAAGCCACTTTTACACTTCAATTGAGCCGACCTGACAATATTCCGAGGTAGTAACAGTTTCCACGCCTTTTTCAAGCCATTTCAAATCATGACAGAGTCAGGAAAGCTCTTGAATGCAAAGGAATGCTGCAAATTGCCCGGTCAGGGATGTGACGTTTTCACTACCTATTTTCTGTGTCAATATGATCCATGGCACTGATAATTGAGGGATCAACAATGTACTGAAATTCCGAAAAATGCTTGGACGGGTGGAAAATTGAAACACCCAACACTCATTTCTCCCACCTTGTTATATTGAAAGCAATTTACACTGTCCGACATTTGTTTTTCATCCCAGTTGCCGGGTTCTGTGAGGAAGTGAACACTTTTTCAGGATCTTTCTTGTGATAACGGGCTTGTGTTGCTAAGAAGCAGGAACTAAAGACTTTATTTTTAACTCTTCTAATAACAATAGAATGAATACACACGGGCGACAACACTAAGCGTATCGGTGATGAGTGAGTTGATTTTTCCTGGCACTTTTGGGCAGTTGTTGTATTTTGAAACAGTTTAGTAGCGGGACTCATTTCGACGTCTCATCTAAATTGTAAGCACTCGAGTGAGGGGGGAAAAAAATGGAATGACCTTAAGGCGTGGTTGTGCACGAGACCGAAAAGTAACCGCTCTTTGATTCCAGCACCAAAGCTTCTTCTCCGCTTGTACGATAAAAAAAAGCTTCTTATCCCACGGCACACAAATGCATTCCTGCATGCTGAATCCACTACTAAAACAAAATAAGCTGCATCTTTTTACCTCACTGTGACTAATACGTTGAAAAGCTTACCACGCAAACTTTATGATGATGTGCCGTTTTGTGAGTTGGTGCTCTCCTGGCCAATTTAGTCGAATTTCTTACAAAAGAAATGAACAGTATTTACGAGGTGACTGACATACTGTATTTGGGCACAGGCTGACCACATCTTGAAACATTTGGTGTTATAATGGCTACATTTGATTGCCAGTGCTATTTTTGCACTCCTTCCTACTAAATTCAATGAGAGCATTCTGCCTGGCCCTGTCCGGTGACACTACACCGATATACAATAATATATTTCCGATGCACTGTACCAGCTCGGCTTCATTTGGGATGGTTGGTTTTCCATTAGTACGGTAAACTGCAAAAATCATTTAGAATGATACGTGCTAATTCATAATTCATTCTGGACCCTAAAAGTGTTTGTTTGAGCAACTTGCAAATGTGACTTTTGGCGTAAGCCCTAACAAAGTTGATGAAACCCATCAAAGTTTGTGGCACCCTGCTGATTAGGATATTTTGCAGAATAAAATTGCGATAAATGATTTTTTTTTCTTTGTTTTTGGGGCCGCATTGTTTCTCGTTATTTTTGTCTCATGTTGTATAAAAATAAAAATCGGGCGACGTTTTGCCGTTATTGACAGCTAATATTGGCTAATTAAATCGGCCGGTGGAGATTGAATCAGTTAATTTTTCAGGCTCTAAAGGTGCAATAGGATGGACGCTATTTGACAAAATGACCTCATTTTTTTCATTTTATTCAAGAGGATCTTGTAAATGGAGAGCAAGTCGATACCGTTCACACAGAGCTAAGGCCAAACACAAAGCGAAGCTAACATTACCACGTGCATCTGCTCAACCACTCCGTTTGGAGCCCTGACTGACCCAAGTATTACAAATAATACCTTGTTTTACTAGCTAGTAGAGCCGAGTAGGTACAGTGCAATGGAACATTTTTTATCTGCACTGATTTTGAATGATTGTGATTTTTTTTTTTTTTTTTTTTTTAAGTGCAACCTCTAAACACCCCCTCCCCTTCTCTATACTCAAATAGGCTGCGCGGATGGATCACCTTGCCAAATATTTTGATACAACTCATGCTCTGAATGGTCACGGGCGCGTGTTTGTCGCGCTGCTTGTAAGCATGACCACCGTGCCGCTTGTTCGCCAACCGGCATTCAATTTGCTAGTCGGCATTTGGTCTGCTGCCTTTAACGCCTCTTCTACGGCCCCTTTTAAACGCAAAGAGATCCTTTTTTTTTTGCACTGTAAAATAATCCCAAATGCATTTTAAACAGGCTTTAGCGGAATTGAAGTTGAAACAACAGTAAAACGGCTACATTGAAAATTTCATCACGTTTTTGTGTTATTAACGTACACAAGTGGCGTGCAGTCGTAGCGTTAGCGCGTTTTGTTTGTTGTATTAGAAAGGGGTTGCTGTATTTTTACGAAATATTTACGTCTTATTTATTCATGGGGACATTTTGCTGGATATGGCCATCCATTATTTGAACTGATATTTATTTTTTAATAATTTTATTAATGGTTATGTATGTGTGGGTTTTATTCCATAAAATTCTCCATGGGAAAGAATGTATCAAGTGTTTTTTTTTGCATTGTATATAATTGTAATTATTTAAGTTGATGATATTATTTGTATCATATCAATGCCTTGTACAGTGATTTTTCTTGTTTTTATTTAGTTGTTGTTTTTTTTCTTTTGAAATTATTTTGTATTTTATTTTTATAAACTGGTTATAAATAAAATACTCATTCCGCATGCATATTCACACAGTTGTGGTGCCGTGTTTTTCCGTATGCTGGATATCTCATACAACAAATGCATCAAATAAATAAATACGATTTAATACATTAAAAAAAAAAAAGATATTTTTACAAGAAAGTATTTTCAATATACTAGGCACAATAAACGTGTTTATACTTTAGTGCAATTATTTATTCCACAAGCACTCAAGGTTAAAAGTATGTGTACTGTACCAAATAAAATTGATCAAGCATTATAATGAAATGCTAAACAAATGATAAAATGTAACATTTAAAATAAATAGTTTTTAGTTTTTTTTAACCAGAAAATATTTTGAATGTAAGACTTTAAACATTTTGTTGTGCAATATTTTTTTTAGTAGTCAAGTTAAAATGTAATAAAGCATACTAACGAACCATTAAAAGAAATATGAAAAATGCATTTAAAGAAAAATAATATTGAACAATAAATCCAATATTTTCCCGGAAAATATGTCAATTTAAGGTGAGGTGAAGTAACAATTTCTGTACTTTCAAAGGAGATTGTAAGAAAAATAAAATCACCCTAATAAATTGCAATAGATTACCATTATCAAAAGTGAAGACAATTGGGAATTTTGAAGTTTTAGCTAGAAACAAAGTACATATTCACATTGATTTGTCAATGCGTCCCACATTAAATGATGTGAAGGGACGAATCTGGCCCCGTGCCTTGCTTTTGACACCAGCGGTCTACATGCAATCTTGTAGTAAAGCCTACAAAAAAAAAAAAAAAAGTACAATTAAGTGTTTGTATTGCTTCCACTTGAAATGTTCAGAACCATGAAATAAAGTATGAAAAAGCCTTATCCTTGAATCCGGAAGACGTGGCGGGTGTGGCTGACGTCACTAACAGTTGTACGCATGCGTGTTACCTGACCCCGCCCTCTTCTTGTCAGTTCTTCCGCCGCGCAAGTGTTTTGTCGGAATGGCGGCTCTTTTGGAATCGCTACTAACAAGGAAAGTAGACCTTACGAAGGTCTTGGACTGGTTGAAGAATATCCAGGTGGGTCGGAAACACCCTCGAACCTCTTCGGTGACACGCTCGGCTCGGGTTCGGTGTCCTACCATTCGTCTAAGAGGAGTGACATGAGCACATTACGGATTGTAAACAAAACTTTTAGCTCGGCAGCTAAGCAAGGCAGCGAACTCGTCCCATTGGCGTAACATGGACAGTTAGTCGCTGCTGTTCTTTGCGGCCGAACAATTAATATCTACGTTCGCTTTTTTAAAATTGATATAATCTGGAAGGTTATTGCTGTTTAACAGACGTTAGCCGGAGCGTAGTTAGCTTTCTCAAAATTTCCTTTTTATAAAATAATAGTGATGATTTTAGTAGTAGCCACTGTTATCATTCACAATTATTGCTATTGTCATCTTAAATGAATCTCGCTGGACTCAAAAAGTTGAACTGTATTTTCAAAGTACAGTTCAACTCGTTTGAGCCCAGTTCCCCATAAAAGTCCAACACATTTTTTCATGTCATTTAAGAACAGTAAAGTTTTGTACCTGTGAAAAACATTAATACCATAATAAATAGACCAGTGGATCTCAAATTTTTACGCCAAGTACCACTTCAAAAAAGTTTTACCACCGTAATGTCCAACATAAATCCAGAATCTGAGTTTTTGCCCCTAAAAAGCGAATTTACAGTGCTTAAGGTGAATACACCGTGTGTGTGTGTGTGTGTGTGTGTGTGTGTGTGTGTGTGTGTGTGTGTGTTCACCACCAGGGGGCAGTATAATATATAATGCATACCACCGCATGCTCAGGGTTCAGCACCAGCGGATTTGTCTCTAATGCACCAGTTTTTGTGTTTCTGTATGAGGGCTTATTTTTTTTCCATGTTAACAGCATAGTGACAGTTTGACCTTCAGCGATCCAGAATTGACAGTCCACAAGCACGAATTCATTCCCTTCCTGCTCAACTTCCTGCGAGATCAGAGCAGCCAGGCCCTCACCCATGGACCCGCCACCCCTGCCAAGACCCCCAGCCGTCCCAGACCCTCCGCCTCATCACGGGGCTTCCCCGAGCGGAGGGCCAGCAGGTCGGGGGGCGGTGGCTCTCGAGGCACCAGCCGGGTGCAGCTATTCTCACCGACGCCATCCCCCGGGTCCGAGTCGGGGCTCGGTCACGTCAGCAGCCCGTCCTTTCCCGCCTCTTGGAGCCCGGCGTCCAGGCCCTCGGGCTCAGAGCGGAGACCCAGCCAGAGGATCAGTCTCGGGGACTATGTGCTGTCTCCCCCGGAGCTCCAGAAGGGCCGCAGGAGGAGCGGGAACGGTGCCGGGAGGCACGCGGGAGGTGGGCGAGCGGCGCATCACGCTGATGACAACGGGAGAAGAACCGGTAGAGGAGGTGGAACCAACGAGCATGTTTCTCCTCCGTCTGCGGGTCAGCTTAATTTCAACAACTTGGAAGATTTCCCACCTGTCGGTTCATCTCCTGTTACCCCCACGTGAGTATTTATTTAATTGCCTGTGCCCTTTCTTCTTAAAGTACGTTTTTTATGCATTTTCAAACAATTCCCCACTTTTCTTACCCCTCTCGGTATATTTTTTTAAGTCCTTATTTATTGGAAAGGGTTAATAAACATTAATTGGAGGAAAATTTGTTTTACAGTAGCCTCTACGCCGAATAAAATTGGATCCGATTACTCGATTAATTGATGGAATACTTGCTGCAATGATGAATTCTAAAAATATTACATTTAGCCATGGACTGCTGTTAAGTCTTGAAAACGTGCGCCATCAAAGACGAAAAAGAAACAAGTCGGGAACAATTGACACCACCCCAAAAAAATACTCAGCCAATCACAAGTGGGGTTTTGATCCAGTGACAACAAGGGGCGGGGCTAGGGCACCGTATACAAACATCAAAAAGTCAATTTTCCATCATATTTATCCTTTACATGAGTCCCTCTTCGCCCCACAGGGGAAACAAACCATCCAGAAGGATAAACCCGACGCCGGTTAGCACTGATCGCTCGCACTCCAAGCCAAAAATGTGCTTCACCTCCACGCCCTTCACTCAAGCTCCCAGCCCGCCGCCACTGGTGTTGGAGAGGCCCGACACGCGGGTGACGGCGGTCAGCCCTCACAGCCTGATGGAGGAAAGGGAGCTGCTCAAGAGAGAAAAGTAAGCAGAGACTCCATTTATGGCCTATGCTTTGACTCAGTTGAGGGAAATCTTGATTTATTATTTTTTTTCCTCGATACCCTTCAATTATGACCCATTTTTCAAATACAATACTGCCAAGTTACTCACAATAGAGCAGTGGAATACAATGTATTTTATTATATTTTCAATTTAAGATAAAAACCTGCGTGTCTGAGGTGAGTGGAGGTGTACCTAATTGATACAACCGGCGGGTGTCATTCTTTCCTCCCGTCTCCAGGTGTAAACGAGCCCAGCTGCAGACGTGCTCGCCCGCGCCAGCCTCAGAGGAGCCGTGCACGCCGAGCAAGTCTGAGGCCCCAAGGCTCGGATCCAAGGTGACGCCAGACCAGCAGACGGCCTGCCCCGAAACATCTAAAGTCACCTTGGCCTCAGACCTTGACGTGCTGGCGGAACTGTACTGCGCCTGCATTTCTGGTGGGTGAACCTTAACCCGGGTGCTAGCAAAAGCAAAGAGAGAGTGCGAGAACAACATCTTTTTGGACTGTTTTTATTTTCAGAAAACCTGGTGCCAAACGTTTTTCTGGAGCTGTTCTTTGTGATGCAGCTGCTCACGTCTCGATGTCCTCACACTCCTGACAACAAGGATGACGATGAGGAAGAGGAGGAGCGTGTGCGGACGCTCAATTCAGGTCGCTGGGTCGCAAGTGACGACTGTGTTTCATTGATTGACACAAATTCAACTCTTTGTTCCCTCGGGCGTGTTTTTATAGGCGTGCTGGAGAGGCGCTACCTGAGGAAAGTGCACAACTGTGTGTACTTTGCAGTGAAGGTGTTGGAGAATCAGTATCAGTGAGTTTTTATCTCTGTGCATCATAGCCAAAAGCCATATTTCTAGACAGTGCTTTTTCTCTTGACAATAGTTTTGGTTTTGTAGCTTGTTGGCTCACCTGGACAAATGCACGTTGCGTCTCCTGGCCGAGAACGAGAGAGTGGCGTCGTTCTCGCCGCGCCTCAGGGATCGCTTGAGTCAGGCCCAGGACACGAGTACAGCCAAGGTAGCACAATGAGATCGGTTCAGCACGTACCGATACTGCTGTTCAAATTGCAAGAGATGAATTTTGTACGCTTGATGTCTTTTAGCTCTCTCCCTCCGTTTCCACGTTCATCCACTCGGTGCCCTTCCAGCCTGCCACAGACAATCGCTCCAATTTCAGCAGTGACAAGGCCTTCCACACCTTTAAAAAGCAAAGGTAGCCAGTGTGGTTTTCGTCGACGATGATGAAATGACTTTGTGAATGCCCCCTTTTTTTTGCCTTCCACACCTTTAAAAAGCAAAGGTAGCCAGTGCGGTTTTCGTCGACGATGATGAAATTAGTTCGTTAATGCCCCCTTTTTTTTTTTTCATGACGATGACGAGCTAAACGTGGCTCTTTGATGACTAAAGTATGACGTGACGTGTATGAGTTTTCATTGACGAGACTGGATGAAATAGCTAGCGTGTACATCCCCTCCTTTCAAATGCCCGCCATGCGTCTTAATCGTCCTCTTCAAGCACGATGGATTGACTGTCCTTTCATTTCAGGGACATTTTTTACGAGTTGCTTCGAGAATGGGAGGACTTCCACAAGGAGCCCGGTTGGATCTTCGATATGGCTCTCGGGAGTCGCATCAGGCAGGTCAAAGTATTTCATTCCTGCTTTATTTTTATGGCATTTTAAACTCATCTTACTCTTTTTTTTTTTTATTGATTTATTTTATGGTGGGGGTCTCAGAGGAATAATGAGTCAGCTGACCGCCGCTGGAAACCACTCGCATTTTGCTCGTCTGTTCCTGAAGCAGCTTGTTCAGGTATTTCCACGCATTCCCCTCTCGTTACCTTGACAAGAATCCGCTCCAAAGTTCATCCTCCGTGCTTAGATGTGCAAAGGGCCTCGCGTTAGCGGCTCGTCCGGCGACACCCCCGACGCCGACCTGCTGGTCATGCTGGGAGCCGACGGCCTGGGCCGCCTGAAGCGCCTGGAGGAGCGTCTCATCCAGCCCCACGGAGTCGGCGGACCGTGCCCGCCGCCGTCATTTCCCGGCCACCAGGAGTTCTTCCGGGACTTTCTGCAAGCGGCCAGTTGGTAAGGCAGCAGAACGCACGGTTAACTCGTGAGGTCTTGCAGCTAAGTTACTGACGTGCGATCCGACTTTATTGACTGAATACCAGCTGTCAGCTGAACCAGCACCTGCAGGACAGCTTGTGTCAGCAGCTCCTTCAGCTGGACGAAGTTTCCATCTTGAGTCCTCCGACTCCCGTCACAGAACGAGAGGAGGAGGAGGGCGAAGAGGCGGCCGGCGACGGGGACATGGAGCAGCAGGTACGCATTCCGCCCGACCGCCGTGAATGAAAAAGCACGCGCTGTTAAACTGACTGAGCACCGCGGACCTCCCGTCAGGACGAGAAACAGCGCTTCGCCTCGGTGCTCCTCCTCGCTCGTCTCCTGGCCAAGTTCCTAGGCTTCATCTCCTTTCTGCCGTACCAGACGACAGAGAAGCCGTCCAGGGAGATTCAGGAAGCGGCAGTCGCCCTGCGGAGCAAGGTGAAAATAACGTAGACCTATTTTTGTCATATAACTGGTTAGGAGTCGCCCGGTCCTCTCCGGCCCTCCCATTAACACTGATAAAAAAATTTTGTGGCACCCTCCAATACTTAAGTTGCCCATCCCTGAGGTAGGGCCACAAGCATGTATAGATTTCTCTTTTTTTTAACTTGCGTTACTTTTACACATATTTATTACAATTACATTTAATAACTGCGGCTTACCGTTTGTAAATGCTCCCCCCCAAAAATGGTCTTTCTTTGCTAATCTTACATTCTTCTCTAACTTCCTTTCATCCCGTCTCATGGTCATCCTTCTTTCATCTTTCTACAGTCTATCTTCCTTCCTTTCTTCATCTATCCATCGTTCCTGCCTTTTTTGCCTCCCTTCTTGAAAGCAAGTTAATCTCAGAAGCGTGTACGTCAGGGGTGTCAAACTCATTTCACATGGTGGGCCACATACGGCCTCGGTAGATGTCAAGTGGGCCGGACCATTAAAATGATACCATACTTTGCTATAAATAACCAAAACAATGTCTTTCCTTTGTTTTGGTATAAAGAAGCACAAGAACATTAGGAAAATGTTGAAATTTAATGAACATATCTTTTACAAAATATTTCATGAAGCACCTTACATTTCCTTCGACAAATGTGCAATTTACTTTTATCATTCACATATATGCATTGCAAATGATCCCACTGATTGTACAAACATTAACAAGTAATTGGTGTTGAAAAATATAGTAATGCACTTTAAGATTAAACGAGATTCATAAAGAAAGAAAGTTTTAAACCATTTACACGTGCATATAAAATCTAAATGTAATCTTACAAACTAAGGAGAGTGCTATTAAATGTGTAAATGTGAGAGTGCTATTGATAGCGTCTGCTGTCATGGGTCTGTCACAGTGACGGACTGAGGCTGCTGTTGTCTTCTTCTCTGATCAAAACAGTGTCCCCTTGCGGATACTCAATGAATTGCACCTTATTAAAAATATTAATTCTGTCTTTAATGCATTTTTTTCACTTTTAAATTATCCTGCGGGCCTAATTGAACCTCCTTGCGGGCCGGTTCCGGCCCGCGGGCCGTATGTTTGACACCATGCTTTACATAATCATCTCGCGGGCCGGATTAAACTCCTTTGCGGGCCGGATCCGGCCCGCGGGCCGTATGTTTGACACCCCTGGTGTACGTACTTCCATCCCACCCCGAATTTCTACGTAACAGAGCGTTCCTGTGCTGGACGTGTGCGGCGTGCTGAGGAACAGCATGAAGCACAGGCGCACCATCTTGACGGTGCCCTGGCTGGTGGAGTTCCTCTCCATGCTGGATTTTACCGGGCCGCTGCTGCTTAACTACAGGGTGGTACTGGGCACGCTGTGTCTCCTCTACAGGTACTTCTGCTATTCCAGTCCACATGCCACTTTATTAGGAACGCTTTAGAAAAGCAAGTGATTGACTGCTGCTATTTTGCATCGCACTGAAAGCTTCCACTGACCAAGATTTTTCACTTATTATCTAATACTTGGTATTATGTTCTCGTGTTAACTTTTTTGATGCTTGGAAAAAAAAAAACAATTTTCTATTTTTCTGTTGGATATTATTTTCTCATATTTTAATGTGTTTTAGCTTTTTTTACATTCTCATATTTGTGCCTTTTTTGAAATCAGTACTTTCATCCATTATTTTCTGTTATCTGCAAACATTTGAATATTTCTGTCTATTTTTCCAGATATTTTTCTCAACTTTGTCATAATGTCTTTTCGCTTTTTCGCCTAGTATTTTAATCCCTCCCCTAATAATATTGCATTTAAAAAAGTCTGCTATGTGGTATTATTTTCTAACTGTTTTCTATTTTTATATGCACCTTAAGGAAAATGACTCTGGGCAGATGCAGCGAGACGTCCTACCTGAACAGGCTGCTGATTGTATCCGTACTGGGATGGCTCTTCCAGGTCGATAGCTCCTTGCGGCATGCTTTTATCGAGCATGCAACACAGCCACTGAAACGCATGCATCACTTCACGTACCTTCTTGGCCTGAACAGATCCCAGTCATCCCTGAGGAGGTGTTCTTCACCAGTGACTTCACCAAGATGGCCGAGCTGGAGGAGAGCAACGCCAATGCTGCCGGACTCGTACGTAGACGGATGCAAGTTGTTTCAAATGCTCGGCAGACATGTTCAATACCGGGGTGACCTCCTCGGAAGCCATTTTAATGCAGTAGTCCAGTAAAGAAAATTAATATTAGGATGTCTAAAAGTGTCGCCTACTTGATGTTTGATAAAGATGAATTTTATAGAAAGTGGATGGATGGGTGACGTCAGAGAGCTGGAGGTGGTCCAAAATGAGGTGTAGGGAAAACTCTGTGTGTGGTGTCTCTATTCAGGATGGCATCCCCCTGGTGGACCAGCAGCTCCTCTACACATGTTGCCCCTTTCTCGGTGAGTCCCATTCCTGTTTGCCACCCGGTGATCACATGGTTTGTGTTGAAACGACTTTTCCTTTCGCCGTCCGCCAGACGAGTTCCGTAAGCTCCTAGCCGCCTTCGTGTCGGGAAGCAGCGCCAAGGGCGGCGGCATCGTGCGCAAGATCACGCCGACGTCGGCCGAGCCCCAAGACGCGGCGGGCGGCAACGGCGAGCGGTCGCAGCAGAAGCTGCAGGCGGACCTGGAGCAGGCGTTCTTCCACAACCAGCCGCCGTCACTGCGCCGCACGGTGGAGTTTGTGGCCGAGCGGGTCGGCTCCAACGCGGTCAAGCACATGAAGTTGGTATCAGAGCGTTTGAATTACGGTGTACCCATGTAAATGGTTGGAGTTGAACGATAGGCGTGAATAACCGGTAGTGTATGTTTTGCAGAAAAAAACGTGCTAATCGGTGAGGGTTTGCTGTACTATTTGCATGAGTTGGTGTTTCGTGATGTACAGGCTTGGTTGTTCCCAGGGCGACGTTCGTGAGCGAGTTGGTGGAAAAAGGGGATAAGATGCTCCGAGATGGACTCGAGTCACCCAAAGCCAACCCGTCCAAACTGAACGAGTCCATCTGCGCTCAACTATGTGAGGCGGGACTAGACGCCCTGAGCAGAGCCACCAGGTACCACAAGTCTTTTTTTTTTTTTTCATCGTTATTGTTTCTTTAAATTGATCTCTGCCGTTAATAATCTGCAGATTTTGCTGTGAAAAGAGTCCAGAAGCCATACGCATTTTGCTCCCTGATGAGACCTCCCCTGCTGTAAGTCACATTTATGTGTTAGTCTTCTATAACAAAAACAATTTACTCATGATTACATTTTTAGCATAATTATAATTACTCAAGTAGTCAAACTTTGGCTTCAGGTGCTTACCACCTCTGAAAACATCACCATACACCTGGCCACAGAAAAAGCCTGCGGCTGGCTCTCGGCGAACATAACAGGTACGCTTACGTGGCGCCACGCGTGGCTGTGTGCTCCACGGACGCTGTTCAAACGACTCCCTTTGAACATTCAGCGCTTATCCGGCGAGAATGGAAGTGCAGGTACGAGCGCGTAACAAAGACTCTGACTGCCGATTCCGCGGACGAGTTGGGCCCGCCGCTTACGCCCAAGAGGAAGCAAGGGGCCACCAGAGTGACGTCCTGCCCTCCCTGCTGCACCCATAGTGCCTCGCTGCCTTCTGACGTCCTTATCGCCCTCAAGGTATGACATGGAAACATCGAATGAAAAGAACTGGACATGTTTCACAAAGCCACTTGACTAAAGTCTGCTATCTTACTGCTATGTTCGAAATAAAACACAAAACATTCTTTGGTGGGGCTGGAATCGATTAATGGCATTTCCATTCATTTCAATTGGGAAAGATGATTTGAGATACATGGCTGTGAGTTGTGAGGGTGGTCACGGGATGAATTAAACTCTGATGTCAAGGCACGGCCGTAAAGGTCATTTCACAATTTCACAACTGAACCGCATCTTTTCAAAGGACTTGCTCAGCGTGGCCGTGGGCCCCAGGATGGACGAAGAGCTGCCGAGCGGCTCTCGGCTCCAAACGCTCTTCCGGAACGTGCGAGACACACTGGTCTGCAAAAAGGTCCAAACACAACCACGCTGAATAGTGTTGTTTGTGGTGACGTTGAATATAACACCGCCCCCCCTCCCACCTTTTTTTTGAAACCCCCTTGTGTTTAGTTCTTAACAGCCGTGTCAGAGCAGATGCTGCTCAACGCCACAGTCCTGCTAGCCTGCAAACTGGGTGAGCCTGACAATGATGCCTTTTATAAACCGTAATCCTACTTTCAAATTATATGAATGAATATTTCACCACTTCCTTATTTTGCCTTTATTTTTACTAAACAGGTGATAAATAGAAAAAAAACAACAACAATTACAAGTCAGAGTAATTATACTTTAAATAAGTGCATTTTTTTCACTTTTAAAAATCCCACATTGATTCTTTATTGAAATGCCATGCCTTAGAAGCCTTTGCTAACTTTGGTGAAATAAAAATAATCACTTGGCCTTTATTTTTTATGAAACACATTCTGTTGCATATACATTTAGATTTCTGTAAAATATGTGAACATTTAGTTTTCCCCCTCCATATCCATAAATAATGATTTATGACGAAATATGTCCAAAAAGATCTCCTCTCAGTCAATAGCTCTTGTGTGAGTCCAGTGTCTGCAGAGCTGCCATTGGCTCCTCCGTCAGGTGGCGGTGAGTCGGAGCCTTCCGTCAGAGCGCTGCTGGAGCAGCTGAGCGAGCTTTGGGCGTCAGACAACTGTTGCTGTGCCCCCCTCCACCTGCTCTTCACCCCGCTAGTCGTCATCGCCGTGCTCAAGGCTGGCGACAACGCGGTACTTTCACAACAGGCGTACATCCAGTTTTTTTTTTTCTTTCCTCTAGCTGACGTCTGGTGAGAGAGATGTAAACCCAACAATAAAAATGTACATAATTATGAAATGATTTGGTTTAGCATTGCATAAATCAATGAAAAAAAAACTTGAAATACTTAATATACAATATTTTTTCAACAATGTGTAAATAAAATAGATTACTGGGAAAGACTATGAATGCAACATATTTAAAATACAACTAAATATTTGAGCAACTATAGCAAAGAAATAAAATAACATCAATTCTATACTAATCAGATTTTTTTGTTATCATTTAGTGGAACAACTACTTGTATGTAGTGAGGAGGCTGCTGGCTCGAGGCTTGTTGTCTGATGAGGAGCTCGTATCTCACTGGACCAAACTGGCAAAGCAGAGCCTACCAGCAGTGAGTATTTTCCGCCTTTTTCAAGTCCGCCATTTTTCATCATCTTGAAACAATTTTTACATTTCAGGAGGTGATGGAGAAGTTCGGGTCGAACAAAGCCTCCTCCTCGCTTGCAAGTCAAATGGACCTGCTGCAGCTGTCTAAACAAACTCTAGAGGGCGCCACATGACAAAAAAAATAAACAAAAGGCGGGAAACGCACTGTAACAACTTGTATGTTTCCTCACATTCTCGGCATGTTGTAAAACAGGAAATTGTATATGAATATATATCAAAAACATAATTTTATCATTGCAGCACTTTGACATGCGAGTCCTTACAAGAATGCGATTATGCATTTGTTCACTGTTTCCCCTCTATGATGCTGCTTTTTTTTCAAGAAAAAATGTAATATTTTTGTCACTGAAATGATATGTTGATGAGGTAATAATAAAGACGAACTCCGGTTAATGTTGATATCAGGTCTTCGACAATGTGTTTTTTGTCTTTTTTTTTTTTTAATGAAGGTGTACCTGATGAATTGTCCGCCAGTGAACATTTTTTGCAGTGTTGGGCTTGTGTGGGCCGACAGAGGGAACATTTCCTACAGCGTTTTTTTTTGGCTCCGGCCGCGGTTCCGCCCACCCGTGACTTTCGTATCCCAGCAGGAAGTTCGGCAGCTGGGCTTCTCATTTGAGAAGTGTCGGTCGTACGACGACGACTCGAAGCCGGCGGCGATGCCCTGATGAGAGGCCGGTCGAGAGGGCTCTCAGCCGCGTACAGCAGCCACGGTTATTTGCCAAAACCATGTTCGGAGTCCCGCCATGGAGACACTCTTTTGAGTCCACCGCCTGGTGCTTTTGTGAACTGTTGACGCCGAGGGGTGACACGCTGTGGTCGGCATGGCCAACGTCAAAGTGGCGGTTCGAGTCCGACCGCTCAACGCGAGGTAAAGTCGGCTAACTTCATTAAGTCACCCGCTTAAGGAGCTAATTGTGATTAAAAAAAACTCCTTTTGTTTTGGAAATGTACTCACAGTTTCACTTATTTACATAATTTGTATTTCCGTTGAAGAACTAAGGGGCGCTTTTTCGTGTGTTTTGTTTGTCGTTATTGTGGTGATGATTTACGGTAATTCATGCTAACCGTCAACATTAACCCTCTTAATATCCAACCTCTTAATTTTCATATCCCTTAAACTGTTTTTTTTTTTGTAAAGTAAAGAAATAACGTGATATTTTTCAATGATAAATTGTGACATTTTGACCCATTCAATGTTTTAAAAGATGTAATTAAAGTTGCTTTTAATTCAAGAATAGTAATCTCGTTACAATAACCGTTTTACATTTGATTTAAAGCAGTGTGATATCTTTTTTTTTTTTACATTTTTTAAGTGTCATTTTTTTGTAACATGAGGGCTTTTTAATTGGAAATTCTACATATATTCAGAATGTGTGTGACCATTATTGTTTGGATTTTTATTGTTTTAAACTAAATAATTATCATTTAACATTCAAATTTGCTATTGTTATTTTTTATATTAAACAAAAGGGAAACAAACTTAATTTTCCTTCTGATGTTGGCAGTGTTCAATTTACTTTGTATGAATATGTGGCAACTCATTAAAAAAAAAAAATCAGCTATCCTGAAATTCCATTGATTGACCAAGCTCAGTAGGTTCCATTAATGTATGAAATATAACTGGCAGAGCTGACTTTCATGAAAAAAAGGCCTTAACAAAGGCCATTGAAAGTCCAAACAATGTTTCTTTCACACACACTTCCTGCTCTTTGGTACCACAAATTTAGTTGTCATCTGTCATGCAAATGAGACACACTGTCCCCCTTTTCATGGAGAATACATTTTTTCACTAAGTGATCCAACAAAATGGCCGCATCAGTGAGACTGGTAAAGTCACAGAAAGGCATAGAAGTGGAAATTCCCCCTGAAACAGTTGGACATTTACATTCAGAAGTTGACAGAAGGTCAAATTCAGTTCGCCACTCCTGAGTCGCTTCTCTGAAAAATAGTCACAATTACCTTGGTCAAAAAAAAAAAAATGCGCTTTGACAATTTTTTTTTTTTTAATTTAATAATTTAACCCAATAATAATCGTAGACTGCCTTGTTGTCATCCCCCACATAGGGAAAGTGCAGATGGGGGGAGGCTGGCAGTCCAGGTGGAGGACAAGTTTGTGAGGATCCAAAATGTCAAGGTTGGTATTTACATTATTTTTCTTTTCTAAGTCAATTCTTTGAGTATTACTGGGGAGGAGATGGTAAAATATCAGATGGAAACAAAAGCTACACAAATATAAGACAAAATTAGACAAAAATTTTGTAATTCCAAAATATTAGATACAATGTAAAAAGAACAAAAATAAATATGAGTAAAAACATACTCTGTTAAATAAGAAGAAATTCTGTTCAAAATATATGGAAAAATTAAAATTTTTTGGTAATGCCATGTTTTTGGGACTATAAATCACTCCAGATTATAAATCACTCCAGTAAAAAAAGTGCAAGCAGGAAAATGCTTTTTTATTTTTTTTTTATTTTAACTAGAACATACTAATTATACATACAATCCCACAGTATGAAACAAAAAGCCAAAGACCAAGACTTTGATCCTTTAAATGCTGACTACGAGGAAGTCCCAGCAGACATGTGGAAATTGGACTCAAGAATCACTTTTTGTGCCCTCTGTGTTGTATTTTCTTGAAGATTTTGTGCAGGGATGTTCTAACAGGGACGGCATTTGTGGGTTTGGTCCATGAACATCTCTCCGATGGTGTCCTTCAAAACGCCTCTCGTAGGCCTTCCGCTTTTCTTGCAGAGTGTTTGTGTGCTTCCTAACACAAAGGAAATGTTGACTTGAAGCCGTTGGTTCGTTTTTTTCCGGAATCTCGGCATGTGGGAATCATTACGACGTCGTCTTGTAAAGTGACACCGACCCGCAGCGTCGCGCGGGCGGCGCCGAGGCGTCCCATTGGTCTGTGCGTCTTACGTTCAAAGAGCGCATACGCCGAGGTCTTTGTTTACATTCGAGGAAAAGTCTTGCGGTGGTGGGGGGGAGATGTGTTACAAATGTGACGGGGCAGAGATAAACCACATCGGACCTCCTCTGACTCCTCCTCTGAATCTCTCGGGTCTCGAGGGAAGCATTACTTGTGGAAAGTGGGACAGCTCAAGACCAGAGATGAAACTGGGTGAACGTTTCACATTACCGTGCTGGCAAAATGATCTCGGCAGATTGCTGCAAGGAATACGTCAGGGATTTGTTCATGGGAGTGGCGCCGGTCAAAGCAAGAAGTACGCTGGCACCGATGAACCTGAGCCAAGGCAATCATGATGAAAATAGTAAATATATGGAAAAAGATTATTTAATCTCGGACCAAAAAAAAAAAAAAAAACCCACAAATAGGATTCATAAAATGTTCAGAAAATATAGATGCATATTAGGGAAGTCAATGGAAATCAATACACTCTTACTACATTTGATAAAAATACACAATATTTGGTCATAATGAAAACACAACTTTCAGCAAAGGGATCTATACAAATATTAGGCAACGAAAGCCCGAAATATTACAAAAAAATTCACAAACTTGATAAATATTCAGACACAAATATTAGACAAAAACTATATTATAGTTGCAAGAAAATGGAAAAATATTCAGAAAATTGCACAAATATTAGGAAAGATAAAAATAAATATGGCAATATGAACAAAAATTGTCGGGAAAAGGTTACAATAAAAAATATTGGGGAATACACAAATACTCTCCAATAATTGCACCAATATGAAGCCAAATTACAAATGATTTATTAAAAATATTCTTTTTAAAATATGGACTTAGAATGTTAAAACAATCATAAAAAGGGAATATTTGGCCCAAAACATACTAAATATTACATATAAATCAAAATGGAAACAAATCAAAGCAAAAATAATAACAAATACAAAAAATACTTGAAAACAATCCAAATAAACTTAAAAAAAGACACCAAAAATACATTAGCAAAAAAAAAAAAAACAACAACAAAAAACGAAGATATGAAATATTTGGACTCCCCCAAAATGTCAGTTTTGAACAATCAAACACAAAAGTCAAACACACTTGTCCGAGTCCCAATGCACATCTCGCTCGGACCACACAACAAGCGATTTGCTGCGCTGTTTTTCCATTCCCACCTCGTTATTTATTCCCCGGCAGTAAGCGGAAAGGTGTGGAGTGCAGCCATGCAGGTAGCGCTCCATGCAGCGCTAATGACTGTCAACAGCTTGCTCATCAAAGACTTTTTTTTTTTTCTTTCCTGTGATTTGTGCGCCACAGTTGGACCCACGCGCCGATCACGCCGCGGATTCTAGGGAGAAGCTCCTGGAGTTCCGCTTCGACTACTGCTACTGGTCGGTGCAGCCCGAGGACCCCCGCTGTGCAACGCAGGAGGAGGTAATCCAAACAAGAACACACCACGATAAGATCCCGTTGCCCACAATGCCTCCCGTTGTCACTGCTCTAATTGGCTAATGAGACGTTTTGTGATTGGGGTGGGGGTGGGGGTGTTGAATTTGTGTTGGGAAAAAAAAGATGTCTGACACACTTTGGGGACGCGGCATTCCGACGTTGACCCTTGGTGGGCGAAAAGGGACAACAGCGGGAATGCCTGCTTCTGCCAACGAGATCGTCGTCTTTGCCGCTCTTGTTTGAGCTGACGCAAAACCTTTGGACCGTTTTGAGTTGGACAAAGAGGACGGTGTTAAAAATCAAGCCTCAAGACCCCCCCGAAAGATGCTCGGAACGCCACCCCCTCCCCCCATGCCAGGCCAGATCTGCATGATATGCCCTTTTTGTTCTTGTTGTTGTTCTCCTTGTCTCAAAATAGATGAGGAAGTGTAAACTCCGCAAACATTGTCGTTCCCCTCCCATGAGACCGAGAAAATGGAAGGGGGGGTTGCGCTTGTTAAGTGAATAAAACTGGATTCTAACTGGTGCGTTTCCAGTCCGTGCGAGCGCTTCCCACCACGCCCGCCCAGCGACCCCTCGGGGGGAGCCGAGCGCAGCCTGCTGGCCATATTCCAGCGTGGGCGTTGCCTTCCATATTTGGCGTGTTAAGCTACACTTAGGGGTGCAGATGTGGTCGGCCGGGGGGGGTAGTCATGTTGGATCTCACTGTGAGAAAGTGAACATTTTTATTTTGAGGCTAATGAAAAGCTCCGAGCACACGTTATTCTTCGACGCTTGTAAACAGGAGCCTGCTCATGGATGCGAAAGC